TATAGTAAGGCTCGCGACACACTAACCCACATATCTGTTGTTAATCACGCGTGACAAACACAATCGTTCGCGTGCGTAAACATAAGTAGAAATAAATTCTTTTGTCTTAGCTATTCGTTAAAATCGCTAACCGTCTCGCAACAAAGCATGTTATAAACAATATCTTGCACTTACATCCTTCTTACTCATCTTTTAAATGTTTTATTGAGGTAAGTTACTTGATTTTTAGTTAAGCAACGATTTAGAAATTCTATTAATCAAATATTTTTAAATCTAAGTACACACATACACAATTAACTACATTTTTTATGTTAATCTAGTCGTTTAATTTAATTGTCGTCGCGTGAAATTAAATCACGGTATTACGGTTGTTGGTCATCATATTTGTTATGGTAGTCAGTTCAAAGTGTTTGTTTGTGGGACGTCGGCGCGGGCGCGTGATGGAATCGTTAGCACGGTAACTGGAGCACCGAATGCCACCGTGAGGCGAAGGATAATGCACACACGAGATCTCTGTGTGCCTAGTACCTGAGAAACTTTCGTGCTCTGTTTCACCTCCACAATTAACTGTCTGCCACGCTCTATACACGTATTTTAGATATGTGAGCCATACGACACCTTCCTCGTTCCAATTTCAATATAGAAAACTAAGAATTTGAAACCCTGTTGCCTACCGACATGACCGTCACAACCGCGTCAATGTTGTATCTTGTTTACAGGTCAGGAAATGGATTTCTTATAGGCAATGTACCTCGTCACATTTACATCACGATTATCTTTCCATATATTTTCATTAACTTTCTTAAGATTCTCGTAACGGAAACATGAATGATTATCGTTTTTCTCTAAGTAATAATTACTTACGTATAACTGAAATTATTGCTGTTTTTTTTTATTAATTATAATCTACACGTAGAAGCTCATATTCATATAAGCTATAGACCTCACGATATGCTATTTCCTAACTCTCGTTTAAATGCTGAATTTAAACCAGGCTAAGTAGTCGCGCATTATTCTCATCCTTAGACCGAACGTGTTTTTCGCACCTCGTAAGTAATTATTTCGGTTGGACCACTGCCCACCCTGTAATAACAAAGCGTATAATTGTACAATAATACAACGACACAACTATTTATATTTATTTCGTAATAATTTTATGTCTATGTTTTTAGAAACTGTGTCTCTATTTTCATACTTTCAGGAACTGCTCGCTTGCTGGTTTGTTCGGGCGTTAAATGTTAGTTATTTGCAGTTTGTGTTTGTTCTCCTAATAATAATGAATGTCAAATAATATTCACTTGTAGGAGCGAATAATAGTTGTCATTATCCCAACTATGTGCGTCAAATTATCGCTACATTTGCGTCGAGACTTCACCCGTTTGAGTCGTTTTATAGACTGTTCCGAGACGTTCTAAACTAAAATAACAAACATTTTCCATTTTCTTTGGCGCGTCCAAAGTTGGCAGTTTTATTATCATACTACCTACAGAAATCGAAGCCGTGTCTACGTAACATGTATTACGTCTATAGGAAATATCCCATTGCGAAGCCCCTTAAACTCATGTTTCAGCGACCGACGCACAATAAAATTCGCTCTACGCAAGTAGCTGTGTACTAATGGATTTTTCCGTAAGATTTATGGGATTACATCAAAGCAACTAAGTGCAGTAATTGCGATTATTGTATGATATCAATTGTTTTGAAGATTAAACTGCTTAAAGTATAACAAGATCGGATTTTCCGACGTGGTAACTCCCATTGTAAGGTTTTATTGTGCACAATTACACATACCTACCATGATACTGCTTTTAGATATCAAAAAACTAGCCTTGGTCTAGGATCAAGGAACCCAATTTAGACTAATTATAGTGAATTCAAAATTTGATAACCTGATTCAAAATTTTAATCTCCGTCATATAAATAAGTAACATACACAGTAATACGTAATTGCTAAAGTTTGTACTATACATCGTACGTGCTTAAATCTTCGCCAAGGCAGAACGCCATTTGTTCGTGTTTAATGCACAGCAGATCTCGTACTATATATGAGTGCAATACAAATCTTTTGGTCTTCAACCAGCATACTGATTACTTTAGGACTTAGTATCGATTATTCTCTAAACTTTCCTTGTTATGTACTTTCAATTTCTATTATAAAGTTCATTGGCTCCGAAGGATAACGCAATATCATTTATATCAAAATGTTATTAATTAAGTACAATATTTCAGCGACCTAAATAATATACTAAACTTCTGATATAACTATTGCGAAACCTTTTTCTTTTAACACTACAATATGTATTGTATAGGGATACCTAATAACCTGGTTATCTCAGATTCAGTAAGTTTTCAGTAAGTTTAAATACAAATGAATAACAGTAATAAGTACTTCTGTAATAAGTTAAATCCTAGCACCTTGAATTAGTGATTCCAACTCCGATCGCACTCAACACCAATATAAGTTTAATTCTTTGTCTCCTCAAACAAAATTGGTTGCCAGTTTCGATAGTAAAACCCCGTTGCACTATTACGCGTTACTTTAATATGTAACTGGGTCAACAAGTAGGCAGCAGTTTTAGCTTTATCATTTATCATTCAGATTCTAACTAAAAGGCACAGGTATTACTCTGCACTGAATTATTCAAAGTAATAATTTGTAATATCCTGCGTTTACATAGTTACTGGTATCGTGTCAGAATATTGCATTGAATGAGAGCAACTACCTACTTAACTATATCTAGATCTTAGACAGTGCGTCGATAAAGTACGATTACACATTTGATTGTTTTAATCGTAATCCGTAATATCTTAAAATCCGATTCAAAAAGTACATCAACAATCAATTCACGTTATTGCGAAATAACTAACTACATCGATAAATCCATCTTAGACCCAATATTAGATAATAGATTATTATATTATACGCATAAATCCCATCTACAAATAAGATATAAATATCCAAATATGATCATTATTTACGCAACATTTGTCAAATCGATGTAAAGTTACAGGAGAATAATATGCACAGAAAACAGGAAATATGATTACTTGTGCCATATCCTACGGGTCACGGATAGCTCGATCACCCTTGGCCCATATTCCGCGGGGCTAGAATTAGGTCGAGGCATTATCACCTGCATTCTCATTATACTCCGCGATACTGCTATCAATAATCACATAGTAATTATGTCCTTGATCTATTTATTTTGGGTTTTTAATATATTTGGGAAATAGGACAATTATTACTAGTATTAAGTTATGATAAAAGCTAACAGTTTGTTTATTAAATATTATAAATTATTTAAGTATATTATTGTAGCACAGAAACAAAGACGTATTAACAACAGTGCAGTTTCCACACAAAGCGTTGTAAGTTGAGAGATGTCTCGAGGTTTTTTGGCAAACATCCTACGCTATCTACTAGATTAGATACCTAGATAGGTGCTCCAAACGCTACTTAAAGACACTCATAAAATCCTATTTCTTCCATTTTGCTAATCGTAAATTACAAAGAACATTTTTATAGTGGACAAGAAAATAATCGTATGACATCTTTTGATATACAACTACATGGTCAGACAATAAAACCGCGATTTGATTAATCGCTTGGAACAAAAGTGCTCTTAACACAATGTAAATAAGAACGATTTTGTTCGAACAATTGTATTGTTCTTACGAAACGGAGATTTAAAAGTGTCCGATCAAGTGGAAACATACAAACCTACCGGCGGAATATTAATGTGTTTACGTTACGCCATTATATAATTTTAAATCGCTTTATTTTTGTTTCGATTTAAGCGAGGCATATGACGCGCGGATTTTGAAATTTGCGAACAAAATTATGGTCGATTCGTTTAATGTACGATGCATGAGAGTAGACTGAAGAAGAAAATAATAATGACCATTGAACAATGTCTATCTAAATCTCTAAATATTATTACATTTCACAATATACGTGTAAACCAAAACAGTCCCTTTATAAGTTAAGTACCAATGCACGTGTTACGAGAACCTATAGAATTTTCAGTTCAATTTCAGGTCAGATTATGTAAACACAACTGTATACCCAGTTTGTACTTACAAGCGATGTTGCAATGCTAAGATGAACAGGTACAGTACACAGCTTCTTATAAATAGTAAATCTTATAAGCAAGCAGCAAGTATAAACAAATGCAGAAGATATCTGATATCAAACGAAATCCGTGCAGAAAACTGCTAGAGAAAGGAAAAAAATAATAATCAAGATTTTACAGTGCTTTTATGATAATTTATTCCTCAGTCCTTACGTTTCATGTGTCCCGCTAAGAACTCGTGGACCATCCGTTATATTTAATGAAATTTATGTGACAAGCATTAGTGACACTTTATAATATTCCCGCCGCCTCATATCCGTGCTTCTCAACAAATCATTACAAATGATAGACAGCTAAGACATCCCCATAACACCGGCAGACATCCTAGCGATAGTTTTGTATAACATGCCAAGTGTAATTTGTTAAAAGTTATGACAATCACAAATGGCCAATAATAAGTACCATATTTACTGATTTCCACTGAAAGAAACATATATTTTCCAGCAAACGACATTTTCATATTTATCTAAATCACGTGGGCAGAGACGGGCAATGATTCACATCACTTTTACTATAGGAAGGTTTAAATGACGATGACTATCTTGTAAAATTAGCAAATGTGAATCTTCACTAATAATAGCTTCCTGGAGTCATGGATGAAGTGTTGTTTAGTTTACTTCGCAGACACCTTGACTACCAATCAACATTTTATTAGTGCCTTAATGAAATACTTGCGAATTATAGCATTATAGGTAATTTAATGTTATTATTATAGAGGTAGACGATATTTCTATCAAACGAATGTTAGCATTATTATTTCTTTTGAACAGATATATCTCTGCTCACCCCATTTAAAAGACAGGAACGCTGTTAGAATCAAATAGCTATCTAATAAAAATATTATTTATAACTAGAGTCGTTACTCACCAATAGTTTTTAAAATCTGGAGGTCTTCTAATTCATATTCCTTTTCTTCCTCGGTGTATTCAGACTCCGTGGTGGTGGACTCTTGCTCCTCCGTGGAAGAGGCCACAGACAGAGACCGCACGTCAGAACTCAACTCCGAGCTGCAGTCCCTCACCAGTTTCGCACTAGCCATCATCATTTTCAAAAAGTTTCTTCACAATAGTATTATCAAAATAATTATAATCAAAGTCTGTATTAAGACTTACTCAGTTCATAGTTTTGTTTTCCGAAAGACATAAACATCGCAGTCGTATTAAAAAATAAATAGTTAATTACGCGAAATGAATATTATGATGATATATTTTTTAAATATTTATTTATTATAGAATTTAAATTAAATATTGAATGTGTTATCGTGAAGATACGCGCGGGAGCGGTGAACAGGCGTGAAGGCGTTCCGTACGCGCCGCGGCTTGTGTCTCACTGACGAACTGCCGACCTCGCTCGCTTCACTGCGAGCCGAACGAGACGCACAACGAGACGGCCACGATAAAATAAACGCTGACAAACTCTTGTTTCTGCAATGTTACCGACAAAGTCAACGATGCTCCTCGTGTACAATAACATTCTAAATGATTTAGTACCACTCCGTCTGCGAACATAAGCCTTAAATGAAAATAAAATTAAAGCGTCCAAAATGTATTCTTCCACCAAAATCTCGTAAATAACTCAACATATCTCCTCATTTTCTTTATAAATAAGTATTGCTGCATCCGCTTTGTCTTGCTCCTGCCCTGACCCTCGGCATAACAATACGAGTACAATCTAGAGGAGAGTCAGACTTCACATTTTAAGCAGCGTAAACAGGAAAGTCAATAAACACTCATTGTTAGCAAATAGTATTTTCATATTTTCCAGCGGATTTATAAGTATTTTTTTCAACTTCAATCATCAACTACTCATTGAGTTTGGTATCTTGTGTGCTTGTGTTTCATCAACAAAAATAAATTTTAGGGTTATCGTCCATTTTCACCTTTTCACAGTGCATCAAAAAAATCACAATCATTTTTAATGAAAAGTTACAAAAGCTTCATCTTTTGTAAGCACGCAAAAAAATAATGACTGACATCAACTAGACTGTAATCGATGAACAGACAAATGTAATTAAATACATAAATAATTTTGTTGTCAAAAAACTAAAACCGAGACATGAGCAACATCAAAAAAAGTTGACTAATCAACATATTTATTCGATACTTTGAAGCTGAAATTAAAGTTGCGATCAGAAAACCACGAAAAAAAACGATGACTCAGATTGAAGGCAAATCTTTCACAATTTTTATTAATATGAGTTTTCATCGGCATCATAACTAGTTTCGAATGTCTAGTAGTGCACTTAGAAGTTGGTCAATTTATTGGCGAAAAAGTTATTCGACAATTACCTACAAGATCCAAAACATAGATTAAGTTTCCGATTATTCTTGGTTAAAAAAGGTTCATAAAGATATGTGATAGAAAATTAATCGTAATTTTTTTTTTTCTTATATTCGAAACAAGCATATCACATACTAGTCATGGTTACCGAGCATTCTCAAAGAATGGGCTCGAAACCTGACGATTGCCTACTAGTGTGACCTTTCCAAATCGTAATATGACTAGGTACTTGAAAAAAGGTTTGATAATTGAACAATTTTGTTAGTAATGACGCATTCTCCATGTGACTATAGTCAGAGAAAGCTTGTGCAATACACCACAAATAATTGTGGTAAAATGAACAAGGATAGCACCTGAATATTGAGTAATAAATGTTTTGTGAGTAACTTTAATTTAGAAACTTCTAGGTCTCATTAGTCATAAGGTTGAGAATCAACTGGAATCTTTGCCAACTGTACGTTAATGGAAACAAAAGCACGCAGACTTAGGGACTTCCCGCGCAGAGTCCTGAATTAATATCATGTGAATACAAAAGGGATAGACGTTTGTGTATATTTTAAAATAAGACAGTACATTTTATGTTTAAAAAAGGTTTATTTGCAACAAGCTTATCACAATCAAACAAGATATACAAGGGAGTTAAATAATAATATCACTGTAGAATCCGATATAAAGTTTCTGATATTACCTAAGAATAAATATCTTAATCTACAACTACACCATTACACGGTTACTTCGATATTACTAATCGCCTCATATAACATATTAATAAGTATTAGTTTTAATGGCAACTGAAATTATAAGTGTTGCAAGTTATCAGACACTGCCTTTGAGCCTTATATTTTGGCAAACTAAGTTTAATATTGATGTGATGTTTATAAAATAACGGATTTACAAATTGAACCCAATGAAATATACACGATTCATTCGGATAGAATATAATATGATAGGTACCTATTATTGGTTCTTTAAAACTGAAATCTACCTACAGTAGACAGGAAAATATATTTACACTGAAAAAGAAGAATGAAAAAAATTGTCATCAATGACGCATTCTCCACGCTGTCGTCAAGGAAAGCTTGTCACTACACCACAACAATTTATTGTGGTTGAAATGAACAAGCTTAAAATCGAATATGAGTTAATAAGTGCGTCATCATTGCGAACGTACTCAATTTTGGAATTTCTCCCATTAGACGTAAGGTTGAAAATCCGCCAATCGATAACTCTGCATACTGCTCATCTATGGTTTAAATTACTTTATAGTTACATAGCAGTGTAAAGTTAATTTTCGTTGTTAAAATGTTGCTATTGTAAAAAATATGTAAATGCAATAATATTATGTAAATATTGTAGTCTGTACCTACAGAAAGTAATAAAAAACAGTTTTCACAGATTACCCACGAACTTACAGAAGTTTGAAACAAGATGCAACATTTTATAGATTCGATATTTGGCCGCTGGATTAGTTGTTTCATTATTTGAACGAGCACATATAATTATGGATATGCCTTTACCAGTAAAATAAAATTATTCGTACTGATCGAAAATGATTTACTGGTAGTGTAAAACTAAATGTCTTGTATATTCAGGTTATGTTAAACTACACGGTATTTTGCAAACTGTTCAAAAATACTTTACTTTAAAAGGCATATCCATATATTTTTTTCATAGCAAAATCAAAGTAAGGTCGCGACCGGATATCCAACCTATACATATTTACACATAACAAAAATAAAATTTACATATGTGATTTCACATAACATTAAAATCCTTAAACAAGTAAGTAATAAATACAACTTAGGAATATATAGGTACATTTACCTTTAGCGGCATTTGACATCATCAGACTATCGACCATTTTTGCAAAACAAAAAAATATAAATTAACAACATAATATTGTAAGAATAAAATTATATTCTATTATAAAACTTTAAAAATTATGTTATTAATCTTAAAAAAACTATATGCACAGACATGCATAATAATAAATATGTTAGACAGTCGATAATTCACATACATTAAAACAAGTTGAGTTTGTGGTCAGATTTATAAAAACAATTATACATTTCCACGTTCCAAGAATTCGTTATTTTTTTCCGGCAAAACATAAATACTAAAACATCGATTATTCTTATTATTTTAAATACAATAACAAATAGTTATGTTCAATAATTTTACGTCCATTAATAAAACGTAGTACCCACTGAGCTAATGTCTCGCTAAGCTTAGCCCACGGAACCATTAGTCAGGACCGGCATTGAAACGAATATTTCTCTTTACTGTATGACGTTTCTCCTATCGGTCACAAACAAAGTAATCACTCATACCGATAACGTCCATCGCAAGATATGTTGGACATAACAGCACGCTATCCACCAAGCCTATTCCTTCAATAACCAATAGAAACTGGTATATATGGAGATCGCAGATACCATCTTCCTATCTCGACTTTTTTGCGTACAACCTTACGTTATCTCGCATTTCATCATGCGCCGGTACATCCAAAATCTCCCAACTAAATTCCTTAATCATGCTGTCACAGCAAATCTACCTAACATGTACTGGAAGCACTTAAATCAACCCCAACAAATACGCCTTTTGTGCTGCTCTCTTTTCTTGATTTGATTCACCTTATAAAACGCTAGCAATGATTACTCCTTGTAATTTTAGATTCTACGTTTTGTCTTTGGTATTCTCCTAACCATTCATTCATGATAACTGTCTTCTGTGTTCAGATATAACTGATATAAGAATCAAACTCGACACATCGCTTGCATCATCTTGACAGCAGTGACTCACACTACTACATATAGACGGGCCAATGTTGCTTACTGTTGTGATCGAACGCTATGTGTCGTTCAGGTCGCATAATACAATTATAACACGTAGGCCACATAAATACCGTTATAATATAAAACCACCATAGCACACAGACATTCAACCAAACACACTTCCAATTTAGGAACTCACGATAATATACCTAAATTAAATGTCATTCACTCAATCATTTCGATAACATTGCATTACATATTTTATAAATAGTCTTATCCAAAGAGTCACCCCTGGCATCCGAAAGGTTACACAATTTGAATCTGATGCCAAATAAATATTGGTCGGCGGTATAATGCTGAGCTGTACTTACGCCGAAATTAATAATGGATCACAATCTCTATTATTCTTAGATAGCACCAAAAATCAACGCATTGACTTGTATTTGAAGCGCTTCACCTAATTTATAAACTGAAAACGTCCATCAAGATCATCAAAAATTGGGTCAAGATTGCTTATTAATTTCAGACGGGTTTAGCTTGATCAAGATATTACATACGAATTTCTTTTTGTAAATATTTATTAGGTACTATGTGTAAACGAGTATCATACGTTCATGATGATGATGAGTCCGGCGTGCATGGCCACAGCTAACTTCTGATGTTGTTTTAGGATGGGACAGAACGCCATGGCTGCCACGTCAGACAGCGGGAAACGCTCAGGGAATGCTTCTCGTGGCAACGCAGACAGCTTCTGTTGTGAAGACTGTTAGAAACATCACGGTTAAGTTAGTGAATGTATAAAAACAATATACATAATTTTAGTGATTGCACTAAATTCAGTGACAGTCGCTTACTCGCGTATACCAACACATTTTTTTTATTATTTGTACCCAAGTTATTAAAGTAACATAATTTTAACGACAAATGGAGCACAAAATCATCCGTTGTTACACGCAACAAGTAGACAAAAGTTTCAATTAATTATAAAACTCTAATTCGATTTTTTTTTCTTACTTTTTATTTACCCATTTCACTCTGAGACTAATTTACGTCAGACAGATTGTTTGGCGTAAACCCAAATGGAATATTTGATAACAACTTTCTGTTTGTTTAAATAAACCAAATGAACTAGAGCACAAACGTTTTAACATTCACTTTCGTCAAATTCTGTGGATTTCTGAACATCAAAGTTATTGACAAGTCAATCACTGGGCGAAGTAAAAAAGTTGGCAACGACTAAGAAGTATTTTAATTCAATTGGTTTAAAAAGTAATGAATTATAGTCGTGTTACAATTTGTTTCTTGCAAACAGGGCAACGTTTGTTCCATTATTATTTTAACATTTGGCAATGCTTATTATTATTTTTAACAGTAGTGTTTAAGTGTTAAGTGTTTTTCCGGATAGTAAATTGCGGAAGATTTTATCGTCCAATTAAGTCTGTGTATTTAGTTAATTGAAATGAGAAGAAAATATGTTAAGTACTCACCCGGTCTCTGGCAGTGATCTGTTGGAACTGGAGGCCGTACTTCTTGGCGGATTCGGAGTACGTGAGCGGCTCCACTACCAAAGACAGATCGTCCGTTTGACGCTTGCGTTTATTTCCAAGTGGAATCATTTGGAACTTTCCTATAACCTGTCAAGAAGAAGACGATATGAATATTATCAAAGGCTCCAGATGATGCCAACGGGAAAAAAGGGTCTACAGTCAAGATATAAGCAACTGTCTTCAATCTCACAACAAAATTAAAAAATAACCATGTTACGTCAATATGTAATCCGAACTTAAAACTTTCATGACACATATTAAAAAAACGGCTTACTCACACAACTGCTTAACGAGTTAACTCGACTAGTTTCAAGCTACGCCAGGGGCTCTTATTCATGAGCTGTAATATTACGTGACATTTGCGTCGTCGTATGTCGCCATTAAACGTTATTAATTTAATCAATACTTGTCATTGTTTTGTCAGTGAAGGTTTTTTGTTTTAATTCATACCTGTTTATACACATCAGGGAAGCAAGGATGTAGCCTAAGCAGTTTGAGTAGCGGCGGCGCGGCGGAGACCACGCGGCCGCACCACTGGCAGCCCGCCGCGCGGCTCGACCCGCCCAGTCTGCGCCCGCCGCCCCACCACTCCAGCTCGTTGATGGACTGGTTTACTGTTTAACACATTTCAGATTATAATATTATCCTATAGGTGTATTCCAGTATGGGAGAGCCATACTTGGCACGAATGTGTCAGCTTGACTAAAATGATACCACAGTCTCACAGGAAACTGGCGTGAAACAACGATTACGTTGTGCTTGTGATTCATTGAATGCGTGAGGTTAAAGGATGCCCGATCCCCAAATCCTAAGTACTCAATCCCTAAGAGGCAGGCAACGCAATTGTCAATTCTCTAGTGCAACAAGCAGCGCCGATTGCTTACACAGTTCACCTGATCTCCCGAGCCATCTGCTCGTTTGTCGCCCTTTTAGAAATTGAGGATTTTGGGATTAAGCATTGAGAATTTTGTATTGAGGATTTGGATATTGGGTATGGGGGATGGGGGGGAGGATTGAGCATCGGGTTAAATCTCTATACAAACAGGGTGTAAACAAAACGCTCCCGAAACGCTAGCAAAGAGAAATTGTTTTTAAATTTTTAATCGTTTTAGTTTTCCTGTTATTCATGCAACATCAACTTCAAGCAGTTGATTACAACTACAACATAAAAGAAATATTGAATTCCTTACTTTTACGAAAATCAAACTTGTTCTTTACCATCACCTGTGAGCGTTTTTTTGAGCGTTCCGTTAACAGCCTGTAAGAGTAGGACACAGTAGTTGTATATAAGTCATAAGAGGTAGGTGTAGGTACCGAGACAGTCGTCCCCGGCGAGCAGCGCGGCGGGCCAGTGCGGCGGGTACAGCACGCGCAGCGCCGCCACGTGCGACTGCAGCGCGCCCGCGCCCGCACCGCCCGCGCCGCCCACGCCGCCCGCGCCGCCCGCGCTGCCCACGCACGCCGCGTCGCGCGCCCCCGGGTACACCGCCACGTCTACACACAAACAGGACGATGGATTATGGCGACTGCTGATAAATATCAAATAGAAAAACCTAATTAACCCGTCAATAAATAAGTTATTAATGAGACAAGACCAATCTCTCAAACCTAAGGGCTTGTATACATATATACAAATTCGCAACGCCGAAAATTGAAGTACGAATTACTGCGATTTAGAGCTCCCTTGCACGATCCAAGTATAACCTTATCTTCCACGACCTTTTGAAAGCTACACTGTGATATGGACGGGAAAAAGAAGTGCATGCTTTTGTTATACTCTTGCTTACACGCTGTCTCAGAGCGAACAAAAAGTTGCATCAACAAGCGTGACGTAACATCGCAAATATACGCAATGCGAATCAATTCACTAGTTGTTGTGACGCGAAGTGCGGATTGCGATACGACGTCGCGTAGTAGATAGTTCGTTATGACGCAATGTATTCTCTATTGCATCTCATATACCAAAGGTAAAAAAAAAATATAACTTAAACTTGGCTTAAAACATATCCTAAAAAATAGTCAGTTTACTTTAAAACAAAATACAATGCCCAAGTATCAACAATCGAGTACTGAAATGAAAATTATCGATTACGGCAGCTATAATAAAGAGCTATAATTCTCGGAATGTAACTCTTACGTTGGGCGCATAAAATGCTTTGACATAAAACTAAATTTGCGACGCATGTTGATTGTGTTGCTCGTGCCAAAGTTACTTACCCTCGATGGGGGCATTCTGGGCGCGTTCATCGTGGTAGGGGTAAAATATTGTCACGTCATTTTCTATGATTCGTAGTAGGGGCGAGTCACTGTTCAAATCGTAGTACGCCGTAGTACCATCGGCATACCCAACTATTACTTGAGAATGTCCTTTTTGCTGAAAAATATATCATAATATAGTATTATGATGAATTAGTTAAACAGTTATCAAGAGTTTAGTTTAGATACTTACCATAGACCATTTGATAGCAGTGGCCTGATAAACCTTTCTATTTCCATTTGTTAATCTGAGTTCAACAACCGGCTTCAGTTTATAAAAAGGCTGTTCCCTGAAATATCACAATATTATTAGTTCATATTAAATGACAATAATTCATGAACCCTTGTGTGTATTTTAACTCGTCGAGTACCGTCATTATAGACACAATTATGGAACAATAGGTTGCGGTCACCGGTGACCGCTTGGTGTTTGACAGTTTAAATCATAAATTGAACTTCAATCAATTTCTTACTTCTCTGTTACAGTTGATGGGTATGGTACAGCGAAGATGTAAGCGGTTCCATTAGAGCAGGCCGCAGCGAGTAACCCGAGTCGTTGCATATTATTTGTATTGGGCAAGACTTCGACCATATCCCTTACTCCCGACGGGCACCAGTCGATGGCCCAGAATGTTCCAAAGTCGTGCGTTATCCCAAGCGCAAATCGTATTGTAGACCTGAAATAAATATTTTATTACATATTTATGTATGCAGAACACTGATTGATTTGTTTGAGTGAAAATAGTCAAATAGAAGTGTTGTATACCATGTTAGTTTTAGTGGTCACAACTGACAAGAACGAAGTCATAATCCGAATAAATGATATCGGCGATGCTCGTTATATTATATACCGCGGCCCTAGTAGAGAGCAGGGGTTGAAACGGGTGGTTTTTATCATACAAAAAAGATAAGCCAATAATGACGAAAGTTTGGCGTGATATTGAAGAGGCCTTATATCCAGCAGTGGACGAAAATGAGGTGATAACGAGCAAATTACTTACGAAATCAAGTTCCCACAGTCCCATATTTGCACAAGCCCCGGTTCAACCGGCGTAGTGTCCCAAGCGTGGCGCGGTGCGTCAGGCCCGCGATGCACTGCCACGGCCAGGAACTGAGACTGGCCGCAAGCTAACTCCGTGTCTGGGTTCGGAGGTGCCCACGATATAGCTTGAATACTCGCACCCACAAACATTACTAAGAAATCTGGAAAGAAGAACAAAGTATAATTTTATTATGCGTTATAAAGTGAATAGAAGTAGTTAAAATGAGTACTCAAATGAGTACTACTACAGTTACATGAGTTCGGTTTAAAGATGTGCGCAAGTTTGCGCACACTTTGCGCAAGTACTTGCAAAATGTTCTATAAACTGGTGTTTTAAAAGATCTATTGAACCTCAACTCTCATTAGAGCCTACACTTCTGCAATTAACTTATTTATAGTATATCAATCAATATTAGTGCAGCTAATCTCATATAAAACTTCTGCAGTAAACAATAAACATTGTACCTTTAGTGCTCCGCGCTTCAAATCGTTTGAATGTCATCCAGTCCTGGATATCGCTAAACCTGACTTTACAGGACTCTTCAAGTGGCGGCATGTAATTAATGATCTCATTCTCAGGCACTTCCTCCAACAAACATTTATGCCACATCGGGAACAAAACCTCATCTGTCAGATACCTCTCTTTACTGGAAAAGACGATATAAAACGTAATTAAGTTCATTAGGTCAGGGACGAAGATTGGTTGAAAAAAATATAAATTATGCTTACAATTCTTCAGTACTTCTCTTCATATAAAGGGTAATATTCTTGACTTGGTATGGTAATCGAATTATTTTTTGCGCATCTGAAAGTAAATTATACAATGAGAGGAGTTCATAAATACATACACAATTATCGACATATTTCGGCATTTCCGTTAGGCCTACAACAATCTCATAATTTGCTCATTCGGTTTAGAATTTAAACCAAACGTCCAACGAACGCGGATTGCTGTATAACATAATGTGAAACGTCAATGCAGCAACACAATTAAAAAGAAGTTACTCACGGTTATCCGAATGCTTCTTCTTCTTCTTGATCGCGAATTCCTCGCGAGCTTCCTGTTCCTCCTCAGATATATTGGAGTCCACCTCAGTATCGGATTCAGAATCCGTTTCCTCTTCAGAACACATTTCCAACTTCACAGAAACATCGGAGTCACTTCCATCATCCCATTTATCCACACATACATGATCTAACAACTCTTTCTCAACATCTGTACTGAATCTGCACTTCGCACAATTATGGCTTCCCTGCAAAGTAAAAGATGGCGTATGTAAGTAATTATAATGAACATTATTGAATATCTTGTATAAATCCGTGAATAGAAAAATGTCAACTTACATGGTGAAGACTGTTTTTATACTTTTCAATCACGTTCTTTGCTCTAAAAATAAAAGAAAAGTTAAATGCATGTACGATCATCTACAGAAGGGAAATGAAGCAACTTTTTTACGACATTCAAAAGGTCATAAATATGGAGTACAAACAAATTTATCAAAAATAATGTATATATATTCTATTTACTTTTCTGCTGCCTTCCTGCGTCCAGTATGAATGATGTCATCGTTAAGTTCTTCCTCTCTCTTCAACTCTTTCTCTTTTTCTGCTTGTATCCTGCGTTCTAACGCCAGTTCCTTCTCTTTATGCATAGTCATGTGCTGACTCTTGTATATGCGCAAGTACTTATTGTTGCATATCTCGCACGTGCTTTTATATATCTCAGTTTCCTGTAATAGGTATAATGCTTTCATCAGTTTGAATACTTAAGGAAGAGTCGTACCAAATAGGGAGATTACAGTGTAACCATGGAGTCTTTAGGCAATGTGTACCATGAACGAAAATTAAATAGCGTACAGACTAAATGAATGTCCTAACGGTAACTAAACTATTATAAACAATTAAAGTTTGTATCGTAATACTTATTCATTGTTAGAAAACTAACCATTTCCGACTTCCCGCATACAATGATGTGCGCGTAGAACCCGACGTAGGACACTCTGCTGATACCACACACCTTACAAATCAACTTGTGGTGAGTATACTGGTATTCTTTTAGATAACTCTCCACTGCATAGGGGTTGTTTATTTCCTGGAAAAATGTACGAAACTATTAGTTGTGACAGAATTAAGAAGAATTTCGTCATAGAAAATGCCATTTATATTTGTGCTATAAAACCGAAGATCTTCTGAAACACGGAATCGCAATTTTGACCAAGTCACTTTTGCTAAATACTAAGGTAAGTACCATAATGACGTTACATAGCAACATTTATTCGTAACTATTATTCAAATATTTACTACTCACAATGGGAGGATCTCCAACGACCCAAGCGATGTTGTAATGTTCACGCATGGAGTGACTCTTCCATTCTTTGGGAGGCATTGTTTTCCCACACACACCACACTCTATGATATCTGTGGAAAGAAAATACACATATTTATGGAATAATAATATATACTTATAATTAGCGCAATAGGCTACATAATCGGTTGAGTTTTTGAATGCCTTTGAACGTGCAGGCTGTTTGTGATATTTTTGGTATTACCATTTACTGATATCTGAACCAAATGTGCTTGTTCTCGTGTTACTTAATAACACGAGAACAAGCTCATTACTTGTATCTGTAATATTAAAAATGTTTAGTATGTATTAGTGAAGTTTGTTTCTGAGTTTACTGCATACGAATTTACGATTTGTAATGAGTACGACAACCTAACTTCAATGACCGACGGGCTGACAAACAATTTGAAAAACACCAAACAGATGTTTCAAAAGTGCCTATATGAGAATGGGGGCTCCGGCTTAAATGCAGCAAGAGGGTTCTTTTTTCAATCACTGCAACTGTGAAATATTGAACGTCCAATGGTGTGACACTAGCTAATTCCCTATTGGACGAAGAACAAGAGGTTCACACTAGCGCCATCTTGTGAGCAAAAATACAGCAGCCCGCATTCATTTCAATAAATATTTGAATTACCTTTACACATTAACTCCACAGACACCTCAGTAAATTTCTTTTTCCCCTGGCATGTCGCTACATGTTCCTGGTACGACTTAACGTACTTTCTCTTGAGTCCACACTTCTGGCAGACCAGACCTCCCAACACTTTAGTCATTTCGTACAAGTGCTGGTGTACGGCTGCCTGGTTTTTAAGGTCCTAGAAAAAAATTATAATTAAGCCTTTGACTGCCGTCAGAAAACTGCTGAAGGCAAATCCTCCGCTAACGTAGGTCACCGGTGACGTACGCGGCGGTTAACGTGTTAATATTAAAGTGCCTTTTCAATGCAAAAATAGTAAATGACAACAGAATGTAGATTGCTACGAAATAATATTATAAATGCACAAAATATTTTGACTTTGCAAATGAGGTTTTATTCAACCTAAACCTAATTTAAGTCAAACCTACCAATCCACTGTTCTCAGCGTAAAGCTTTTAAGTTTACGAAAGAAAAAAACCGAATACTAAATGTTTTTTAGGAAGCTAATTATGTTACTACATAACTAAGCTAAGCAAAGTCACTGTCCTGCCAATCTATATAGTAAAACACAACATTACTAAATACTATTTGGAAAACGATGATACTTACAATAGGTGGTTGTCCCTCAACCCACGCCAAGTATTGATGCACAGTCTCTATATGCGTGATCCATTCAGAGCCTTCTACTTGAGCTGCGCACACGCCGCAGGTTAAAATCTCATCTTTTACTTCTTTTTGACTAAATTCTTCAATCCAACTACAAGAAGTATCCTGAGGGAAAATAATTTTTGACATTTCGAAAAAGTATTGGATATGACTAGCTAAACATTGTATTCTGGTTGCAGTACTTTTTATATTTATAAACAAAAGTAATATGCAAAATTATATTATGAACTTACCGTGCCAACGACGCATTCTTTTATATGTTGCAAGTATACTTTGGGGTACTTGATCTTTTTCTCACATTTGAAGCATTTTAAACCATTGTTCTCTCTAGAAATATCGAGGAGATGCATTTTTACCGCAGACTCATCTTCTAGATTCTGAAAATCGAATTGATTTTAGGAAAATTAAATAGTAGTAAAGAAAAGTATTCAAATAAGTTGCGCAATATCTTTTTGCACACCAAGCACATAATTTGATTGTAATTATTATAACACATACCACTTGTTTGTAACCATCTCTCCACGCCAGATAATTGTGTTCCTTGCCAATATGATGTATCCAGTCCACGATAGAAACCTCTTCGTGGCAAACTCCGCATTTAATGACTTTCCTTTCTTCCTGTACTACTGGCACTTCGTACCAGCCATCAGTTGACTGGGACTGGGTTGTAGTATTCAAACTTTCGTCCATGTCCGCTTGGCTCTGAAACATTGAATAAGTAATAAATAATGGAACCAAAATCGATATTATAAACCTACTTTTTTATATAATTGATTGAATTACATGAATTGTTGATACTTACATCTGCAGAACCATCACACTCGTCAATATGAGTCAAATACAATTTGACTCGTTTACGCACGATGCCACATTTGTGGCATGTCAGTCCACCATATCTCCTCACAAACTGTTGCAAATGATTCCACACTACTTCTTCATCACCGAAATCCTGAAATAAACATTTATTATAAGCATTAAACATCAAGCAATAATGAAATCTATTTCAAAACTTTAGGGTTCAGAATTGAAAGTCAATTAAATAGAAAAGGAACTTTTGGAAGCGAAAAATACTAAGAAGGTCCTAAGGAGAAAATACAAGTTTATTATTAGCAACTCATTTGTTTATTGTAGTGCAGGTAAAAGTTTATATAGAACTTACCATAGGAGTATGTCCTTGTGGCCAGGCCAAATAATTATGTTTCTTCGATATATGGTCTATCCACGCTGAGTTTACAATCTCCGTTTTACACACTCCACAATTCACCGTACGCTTTCCTCCTGATTGACCTAAGGCAGTATCATCAGTAACTGGCCCATTCAAATCCGCACCCGTCGCAGAATCATCCAGTAAATGCTGAAACGAAACAATTCCAACGTGATGACTCTTTGAAGTTTTAAAACATATGTCTGAATTGCTTTGTTAAGAAATTTTCGATTTATTCTTCACAAAAATAAGTATATATTTGAGAAAAATATGTACCTAGATGTAAATAACTTACCCTAGTGCCATCACAAGTCTTTACATGCGCCAGAAATAGCTTAGCACGGCTGCGATTGAACCCACACTTCCAACATGTCAGCGTCCCTTTAGCCCTAATTATATTCTGCAAATGTGCCCAAACTGCTGACTCATTTGACAAATCCTAGAAAAGACAAACGATATAATTTAATCATTCCAATATACGAGAGAAAGTATTTAAAAAGGGTAGGTATTAAAATCTTAGACATGGGCATAATACATTCAGTAAAAAAAGTATCGGGAATGGATGATTTGTTTATGGTTCCGAATTCAAATGTTTGATTTTTTGTAATTGTTAGATTGGCACAACTGTTTTCCATTTTGGTGCGGAGTTTGAGTTGCAAGTGTTATATTAAATACAGTGCTGGTTTTAGTAATATATAGGACAAAAATATCGAACAAAGAGTTTGTCTTAAATTTTGCTTCGCCAATTGAATTTCGTGTTATTTAACTAATCATTTGGGTATGAACTGCTCGCTGCTCGACTAGTCCCAAAAGATCGGAATTTTCTCCAAAAACTCAATCGCATGAAAGTCGCTGAGGACTTGCTAGAACGAGTCAGTTCAGACCCAACATTCATGAAACGCATTGTTACTGGTGACAAGACGTGGGTTTACGAGCTTGACATGCAAACTAATCAACAAGCTTCGGAGTGGCGCCTTCCAACTGAACCGAAACCGAAAAAATCACGCCAAAGTCGATCAAAATTCAAAGTCGTGTTGACTGTTTTCTTTGACTATCGCGTAAATTGTGCACTCAGCAAATTCGACGAAAAAGGCCAGATTTGTGGAAAGAAAATTCTTGGATTTTGCACCACGACAATGCGCCTTCACACAAGGCTATCATTGTGAACGAATTGTTGACCAAACACTCAACAAATACCATCCAGCAGCCACCATATTCACCAGATATGGCTCCTGCTGAATTTTTTCTTTTTCCTAAACTCAAATTACCACTTAGAAGACATAAATGAGAATTCGCGGCGAGAACTAAACTCGATTCTGGAAGCAGCGTTTAAAAAATGTTTTGATAATTGGTTTATTCGTTGGCGCAAGTGTATCGTTTCTAAAGGAGCATACTTTGAAGGTGATAAAATAAATTTGGATGAATAACAGACATTTTGTATATTATTGTCTTTTCCCGGTACTTTCTTGACAGAGTAGTGTCTCTTACACGGAGAAAGCCAGGGAGCTTACTCTTGAATCCAATTCCGATCAATCGATATTAATATTATAAAATTGTGGACTCTTAAGTTGTAACACTAGCGCCCATCGCATTTGTATATTGGGTGGGTAGTCAATGAACTAAATTATATTAAGTTTGATTTTATATTCCTTACTCTGAATACTATTTTATCAGTTAAGATTAGGGTTGTATAATGTTGACATTGTATATTTATTATTGAGATTTTATTGGATTGAAATGAAATTGACATTGAGATTAGTTTCAAGAGTTGATTGGCCTCTAATAAAGCTTAATGGTGATTTGGTAATATTTTCCTTCGCTATATAATATCAGTTGCGTCTAATTAAACTCATCATTAACAATATAATAGAAAAATAAAGACAACTTACTATAGGAGTATCTCCTTTCTGCCACGCCAAATAGTTATGATCCCTGCTTATATGGTCATACCACCTATCCGACAGCATGATCTTATCGCACACACCACAAGTCACGTTTTCTTCCAATGGCGCTCTAGATTTGCGCGTTGGCTTTTCTACCTTTTCACTTTCCCCTGACATCTATTAAATAAAAATTAAACGTTAATAACATCGCAAGTATTTATTTAAATTATTTCTGGCAAAAATATAAAAAGATTAACCTTTTTCTTTATACAGTATTTAACATGATCGTTGAACCGATTAAATCTGTTCGTTGTCATGCCGCATAAACTACACACCAACTTGCCCTCGGCTTTCAACTTTTCTTTCAACTTGCGCACTAAATCTCGATCGTCCAAATACTGAAACAAAATTATGCATATTAAACAGTAATATTATTTATTAAGTTATTTATTGTACGTAAATAAATTTTACTGATGATACTTACAATACGACCACCCACTTGCCAAGCAATTAAATCATGCTCATTGGCCACGTGGTCTTCCCATTCTGCATGAGAAAACAAGTCTTCACAAATTGCACATTTTATATTCTTCTTTGAAGACGGCTCACCCTTATCTTTACCGATGAAACTTCGCTTCTGTAAAAAATTTAAAAAAAAAATATTTATATTTTTTTATTTTATTCTATTGATCAGGTACCATCAATCAGATATAAGAGACATACTCGAGAATTCTTTTGAATAGGTTTAGTTGCAGCAACTTTTGCTTCCTGGGCAGGAGTTTTCTGAACTTCCTTATTACTCGCATCATGTTTGGACGTCTGGAAAAAAAGAATCAGAATAGAAAAAGAAATAATTACATTTTGGGAGTAAAATCTTCAAAGCTTTTACCAATCCGATCACGTGGCGAAAGCATAAGGGACAGAAATCAATAGAATTATTTCGTACCAAAATAAATAGCGCTAGAATTTTATTACAATATAAGTTATCACCATGATCTGATTCAAAATCTCGGCAGTCAAACATTATGTGTCAAATGTCTGGACGGCAACAAAATATTCTTACATTTTTAACTCTTACAGACTTGTAAAAAAATCGAAATTCTATTGAAGTGATTTGACATATTTGAGAAGGTTGGTCTATTGGAGTCTGTACTTGTGTATTATATAAGTCACAGGAATTTTTACATACTAAAGCTTACCTGTGGCAAGATGTTACTTATCTCTGAAGATTCTGGCTTTGTTTGCGGTGCAGTGGGCTGAAATAAAAAAATAACAAAAATAAAAAACTTGGAACATTTTTAGTCATTGATATTCGTATTTTTTAGCTATTTTTGGATTGATTTGTTTAAGATCAACACAAACGAGTCTCATAAATTATACTTACCATAACATTAGCTCGAGGACTTCCCTGTGTAGTATTTGTATGCCCACTGTCTGCAGAACTGCTACTATCATGTACATTAGTACTCAAAGGCTTGCCTACATCTATAACACTATTGCATTTTTTGGTTTCAGCTTCAACCATATCATGGTCATTGGTGTCTAAAATAATATCAGAATTATTTACAATATGCACCTCAGGCTGAATATCAGACACAATTCCATCATTTGTAGCCGGAACTGTATTATTAACAGGTGACACTTGAATGTCACTAGAAGTATCATTACATTCATCTACAACACAATCATGAACCACTGGTTCTGGTTCAGAATCATCTATATTTTCACAAAATTCGTTTTGAAATAAATTCCAACAAATAGAATTATCTACATTTTCTTCAGTCTTATCCTCTTTATCTACGTCACTTCCATCGCTATTTACAACTGGCTCATCACTGTGTATAGAAAATATTGTAGCTAATTCACAATTAGCACTATTATTATTCTTAAAATGTATGTGCTCATATGAATTATCACTATCATAGTAAGCTAAACGGCCAAAATCATAACACAAACAAAATTCCTGGGTTTTATTAGATGTCACAATATTTATTGCATCCAAATTCTGGTCCACCATCACATCTTGTTTTACGTTCTCATGCAACTTAGGTGTGAACTTATTACTCTGTTTTGGAATAATTTGCCTAGCATAGGTTTTAACGACCTTGCACTCACCAGTGTGTTCTTTATCTTTTTTGTTTCCACCAGGCTTTTCTACTCCTTGGATGCATAATTTCGATTCAGTTGTATTTGTCTTTGAATTAATTGTTTTCTTATTATTTGGAACGTTAAGAAAAGCTTTCTTCGATTTATTTTTGTCTGTGTAAATGTGGGAAAACTTCTTTAAATATGCAGCTATCTCCTTAACTTTCTCTACTTTAATTTCTGCATTATTATCTGCCAATTTTTTTGTTGCATTTAAAATACTAGCTAACTCAAGAGGTTCTGATTTCTCATCATTGGGTTCTGTATCAGACTGTTTACGGTCTTTTTTATTTGTAGATTTCGATTTAGACATTACTTGAGGTTCCTTGCCATGTTTTTGCTCAATAACAGTTTGTGCAGTAATATTTGTTTCCACATCATTTGATTCTTTATTTTTAACAATATTAGGTTTTACAGACCGAGCTAAATTGGAATCCTCTTTCTCATGAGGCTTTCCATTACAATTCTGGAAATTATTTTCGTTTTTATCTATTTCTGTGGTAACCATTTTAGTTATTGTTTCAAACTTCGATGGACCGTCTGACACATTGTCTGATTTAATAATATCACTTACATTACAATCATCCTTAACAATATTAGATTTATTATTATTTTTATTTGAATGTATTTTCTTTTTGTTACATGATTCGTTTGTTCCTGATTTGTTGTTAGTGGGTTTATTAGTCTCCTCAATCACAACTGGTGTGTTTTCTGTTATTTTGTTAATTGTGGTTTCAGTCAGTGTGCTTTCAAGATTCTCCTCTAAATCTGAGCTTGATTTAGTATTTTTATTTTGTAAAGGCACTGTAAGGATTGAAATATTAATCTGTTCTTCAGACTTACTGATTTCATGGTTAGTTTTTGCTTCAATTACTGACTGCACTGTAATGGGGGTTAAATTTTTCACATCACATAATTTTAATGATTTCAGTTCCTTAAGTTTTGAAAGAGGGATTGTTTCTTCAGAGATAATGTTTATTTTAGATGTATTTGATATGGGAATTTCTTTGTTAGAGTGATTATAAGACAATAGATTGGGGTCTGAGTCTGTGGAATTTACGGTCAATTCTATATCACTGTTAATTTCAAATGATTGGTTATCAACCAAAGAATTAATACAGCTGTTTGCTATTTCTGCTAGATGATCATCTAATACCACATTCATGTTTTCTTCGATTTCCATTTCATTTCCAATCAAAGATGTTGGTACTCCATTGAAGGATATATCATAGTGTAAATCAGTATTATTTCCACTGAGACATTCTGTAGTATTATTAGAGACATTCAAAACCTCAATGGAGCTCACAGGTTCCGTGCCTACCAAGTTAGTTGCAGAAACAGTTTCTGGAACAAAACTTTTGCTTGCAATTTTAACTTCTTCAGGAATACCATTAGCAATAGTTGGAATAAATGTAGGACTCAGAAACACCGATTTTTTCATTAATGTTGCAGTTTCCAAAATAGAGGTGTCAGATGGCATCTGACTACAATTTCGGTCTGAAATATTTTCGAAGTACCCATCATTGATATTGTCAGAGCCTGGAAGAAAACAAGTGTCACTTTGTAGATAAATTTTGATAAATAAACTATTTGAATTAAAAATGCGCACTTACTGGGCAGCTCGATGGCAGGTGTAGAAGAATTCACTTGGTTCACATTAATGTTTCCTATACTAATACCAAGTTTCTTCAAAAGGTCCGGAGGAAGTACAAATACTTCATGCTTATCCTTTGCAGATTTCATCTTTTTTGGTTGCTTATTTTTCTGAAGACTTTTAGTATCCATTTTTCAACATATTATCATTGATTCATTTTCAATTCCATGTTCAGTTCTTCAAATAAGCTCGCTGAAATTGTATAAATTTATATAAATTTAATTAAAAATATATGAAATTGTATCAAATTTTAAAATACTTTTGTCCTATGTCTAGTAATTACATCAGTAAAAAAGGAGTAGGTATGTTTCTTAATCATGTTATCACTCAAAAGATATTTATTAACAGCTTTATAAAATTTAATACCACAAATAAGTACTTGAAAAAAAAATGACATTAACAAATGAAATTTCACAATTTTCGATCATTTTGCATAATTTAATATTTTCAAAAATAGTAAATACTAATAAAAAAACCAAAAGCAAAATATGAGGAAAGGAAAAAATTAAACACTGCACCAGGATCGAACCATGGTCATCAAAATCAATGATCACACGTGTTCATCACTACGCTACGGGAACCGCTTTGCACACTAGTGTAATTTGCCTTGCCTTTTTTATTTTACGAACTCTATAACAAAAAAATATATTTTATTCACGGAAATATAACTGCACAAGATAAAACTAAAAATACCACAGGACTTACAAATTTTTCGACGCCAGACGTTCAGCCTACATTTCGAAGATAATTCTTGACATTTTTACACAAAACACATTACCGGTGTATGATAATGAAAACCACAGACACTCAACACTTACTAAATCTTTGTTTAATGTATTTCACATCTGTATTAATTGTATGAACTTACAACCACTTCACACGATGTAAAATGAAAGCGAATTCGCATGAAAATTAAGATCTTAGGTTATGATCGCTCATACGAAGTTCTATTCTTAACAAAGTTCAAAGTAACATTTATAGCTCCTTATCCCACTAGGAATAGGATTCATTTTTAACTAATATCAGTAAAAATAGCAGTAAAAGTTATGTTGCCAAGTTGACATTCCGAACCACTTTTATGTTGATCAACAGATGGCGCCATCCACGACATTGTCACAGATTATAAATACCGATTACATTGTTTACCGTTTTTTGCCTATTTAATTTTTAGCATCTTTAAACTTAAAGTATTGAATATAGTGGGTGTTATTCATATTTATGTCTGAATTATTTTTAGATACAGTTTGTGTAGTGTATGGTATGCACAAGAATTTTTATGTCCAGCAATAAGCATTCCGATTTGCGATCCAATTCTGCCAGGCCAGCACGACCTACCGTACCATAAAAATGTATTGGTTGGTTTTAGAGTCGCGCTGACTGCACGCTGACCGTCAGCACTGACAGCCAAAATGTATGAACTTCTAGGTACTTAGCGTTTTTGAATGACGGATAGCCATCAGCGCGCATGGTTCCTAAAAGTTCATATGGCTCGGTTATCAGTGCCGACGTTCAATATGCAGTCAGCGCGACACTGAAACTAGGCTTATTGGTTGTATTACACCTTAAAAAATTATTATTATACGTTTTTTGACCTACTCTCCAACTTATCCATCTCTGATCCGACTGAAAAGATCATAATTAATGATATTAAAAAAATATATATTATGTAGGTAGGTTGACTTCTTGTTCTTGACGTAAGTCAAAATTACTTTGGACTTACATGACATCCAATGACATCAACATCAATGACACATTGACACATGTGTGATACTGTGATTGTATTTTGAGCTGCTAAACCCACTGGGTAAAAAACTAAAAATATAAAATAAATAATTTCCAACCCTGACATCTGTGAAAAGTAGCAGGGCTTCTGAATATCGTTAGCAAAATGGGTGCCAAGTCTTTAGCACTATCCTTTCAAATCAAAACAGAATGTAATGTATCAAAAGCTCGGGCTGGACTAATGAAATTGCCGCACTATGAAGTTAAAACTCCTGTTTTCATGCCTGTTGGAACACAGGTACGTATACCATTTTATCGATAGTTAAACGTAAATACATTTTTACCTACAGTTTTTTGTATTTTGAAATTAATATTACTATCACTTTTCAGGGTACAATGAAAGGTCTTTTACCTGATCAACTTGAAAGTTTAGATTGTGAAATAATTTTAGGCAATACGTATCATCTTGGAAACCGTCCTGGCACAGATGTTTTGACAAAGGCAGGAGGTCTTCATTACTTTATGGGCTGGAACAGGGCACTGCTTACTGATTCAGGAGGTTTTCAAATGGTTTCCCTACTGAAACTGGCTGAAATAACTGAGGAAGGAGTCAAGTTTAGATCACCATATGATGATTCCGAAATTATGTTAACTCCAGAAAAATCTATTGAAATTCAAAATTGTATTGGTGAGTTCTTGTATGTATTTATTTAGTAAAAATTGTATTGAATTCCAAAATAATTTGATAGATTTCATAATTAAATTTAAGGTGCTGACATAATCATGCAACTAGATGATGTTGTCCAAACCACATTCCAAGATTATGATCGTATTAAGGAAGCTACAGAAAGGACTAGCCGATGGTTGGATCGATGTTTGGCAGCCCATAAAAGACCTACAGAACAAAGTATTTTTCCTATTGTGCAGGGTCTACTAAATAAAGAATTGAGGGAACAAAGTGCTAGAGAGCACATGACAAAAGATGTCAATGGATTTGCCATTGGGGGATTGAGGTTCAAACATGCTTTAATTTTTATACTAAATCAGTAACCATTTTCTGGCATCTTTCTCAAAAGTACAAAATAACTGTTTTTTTCTACAGTGGAGGTGAAGCGAAGGATGATTTTTGGCCCATGGTCAGTTTGAGTACTGGAATACTGGATAAACACAGGCCTAGATACCTAATGGGAGTTGGTTTAGCAATAGATCTTGTAGTATGTGTTGCCCTAGGAGTTGATATGTTTGATTGTGTCTTCCCTACTCGCACAGCTGTAAGTTTTAGTCCTCAATATTACCAAACTTGTTTTCATTATTGTATGTAAACATAACTTACACAAAAGTTATTTTCTTTTTTAGAGATTTGGTTGTGCCCTAGTTTCAAACGGACAGTTGAATTTAAAACAAAAAATCTATGAAACTGATTTGGATCCCATTGACAAGAACTGTGGCTGTTCAACTTGCAAAAATTACACAAGAGCTTATTTACACAGCATTGTGACAGTGGAAACTGTAGCTTGCCACTTAATTTCTGTACACAATATTGCTTATCAGGTACAAAGCTAATGTTTGATTGTTAAACAATAATGATTTGGACTTCTGCCTATAATTTCATACCAACATTTTTTTTATATTTGCAGATGAATCTAATGAAAACTATGAGAGAGAATATTGAAAAAGGGACATTCCCACAATTTGTGCAAACATTTGTTAGTGAGTATTATGCTGATTGTGAAGAAATCCCACCTTGGGTTATTAATTCGTTGAGCTCTGTTGGAATAAACATAGTTAAAAACTAATGTTCTCTTTTTATTATATTTGATTCCCTTGATAAATCTATCAAATCTAAGGAAAACTTACAATAAGTATCATATATAAAATAATCAACCAATCAATGTTGGTATAAATATATTTTATTTTGTTACATAAAGTCATCTGAATCATTGCCATCATAATTTGTGGTCATATTTTCTGCTTTCATTAGAGTTGAGTAACTTCTCAACTCTGCTTCCTCTTTCTTCTTTTTTTCTTCTTCCTTTTCTTTTTCTTTCTTTTCTCTTAGAAGTTTCTTTTTATCTTCCCTTTCTAGCCTATCTCTAGTTTCCCTTTCTATTCGCAGATCTGGGAAAGATTCTTTTTTAGTTTTGTTTAATCTGTTTACTATTTCATTACTTCTTTTAGCCACTCTCACTTTTCTAACATCTTTGTCTTTATGAAATGCAACTTGTCCTGCCTGAAAAAATAAAATAACTGTAAGTAACACAATATCTTAAACTGTCAAATACCAAGCGGTCACCGGTGACCGCAACCTATTGTTCTATAATTGTGTCTGCAAAACCGGTACTCGACGAGTTAATGTTGTGGCATGCTGCTCATGAATATGAGCCTCTAGCATCACCTAAAATTCACCGAGTTCCCCAACAAAGAGAGTGAGTATATAGGCTGAAATTTTATTAAATAATTTAGTAAACCTCACAACATTTTTAATTTAAAAAAACATCTCAAAAAAAAGAAAATGCATTAAAATAATAATTGATTGTAGTTATACCTCCATTCCAGCAGTTTTCTTCAAATTTGCCCACATTGTATAGACAATATCTATATCATTCATTTTATTACCCATGATAGAATTTGCTTTGACTAACTGGCAGGCATCATCCAATACAGAATTTGGTATGTCATCAATAGTTTGACCCTGTAAAATAGATTATGTTGATCAATTTTTAAATACTGGTTACATATTGACCACATACTAGGATTAATCTTTCGTGTATCTAAACGCGGATCCACACGAGACTCAATGTATTTTCTATTGTGTCTAATATGGTGCATTCAAGCAGTTAATAAATTACATCGAGATCCAGTATGATTTGTAGAAATACTTATTAATACTTATTAATCTTACCGGAGCTAAACGAAGGTATACGTGAGCTGAAGACACTTTGTCTACATGGAACCAAACATCCTCAGGCCAACCCCACTTTATCAAGTCTTCATCTGCAAAACAATAAGGAATCATAATTTAGCATCCAGTATAGTGTAATTTAATGCATTGCACTAGACAAATGTTATTCTGTACAGAGAATAGTATCTAAAAGTTCTTACTTTCATGTTTATCAGCACCCATAAAAAGGGTTACCGGCGGAGACACCACGTTACTGGTGAAGTAAAAAACCATTTTTGGCTTTATTTATGAATCTAGTGTGTAAATACCTTTCGGTACACGTCTTTAAATTAAAAATTTACAATCAAGGCACCAGCTACCACACCACACGATTTACGATACGATTGCACTAGGTATGACGTCTGTCACCTTACACCTGTGCTGTCACTCTCTTCTTGACAGTTTAGTGGTGTACTGTAAATGCTTACATACAGGTAGGTAGTCGATTAGATTAGTCGAATAAATGAATAAATCTAACCCATACACCATCCGATTTCATCTCATCAAAAATTATAGATATATCCAAAGTATAGTTTTAAATTGAGATAAGATAATATTAAAATGATCATACCACTTACTTGGTTCTGATACACAGTTTCTTCAAATTATTTTGTTATTATCACACATCTCATATTTAAAATAGTAGGTAGATCACTGATGTGATATGTTATATTTATAAATCTATGAGGTAGATAAACAATTTAGACTAACAGGGTGTCCAGCGCACAAAAGGTGTCATGTATGTGTCATTTCTTTCAGATTGTCAATGAATTGGCATTTGAAACAAACAATCGATAATAATGAGAATATTGAAAAATAGTATTGATTTACGAACTAGGTAGTGCTTAGTAATATATTGGAATTGATACAATTTAAGCTAGAGAAGTTTCTTATTAAGACTAAAATGGGAAGTCCAGAAAGAGAATTGTGCCCGCCACCATCAGAAGAAGATGAATTAACACTTCCAAGAGCAAGTATCAATAAAATGATTAAAGAATTGGTCCCTTCTGTGCGTGTAGCCTTCGAATCACGGGAATTAATTCTGAACTGTTGCACGGAATTCATACATTTAATAAGTTCAGAAGCTAATGAAGTTTGTAATCAAAGCAACAAAAAGACAATCAATGCTGAACATGTACTCACAGGTGACCTGCCAAATGACTTGTAATACACATTTATAATTAAAAACAAGCATGCTGCTATACGAAATTAAACATTATTGATATTATTTCAGCTCTGGATAGATTAGGATTTAGTGATTATACACTTGAAGCTGAAGCCGTTTTAAAAGATTGCAAAGCCGTTGCTGCCAAAAGGAGACGGCAAAGTACAAGACTGGAAAACCTTGGTATACCTGAAGAAGAACTGTTAAGACAGCAGCAAGAACTATTTGCTAAGGTAATCAAACATTATGTAGCTTGGTAACTGCAAACAAAGTATGCACTAACTTGTAATGTACTTTTACTTTCATGTTTAAATTCCCAACAAGAGAACAAGATGAACTTGAATATTAATCTAAACTTTTGTAACTTATGAGTGAATGAACAATAATTAACCCATAAATCCCCAAGCGGTCCCGGTGACCGCTTTCCACTAATATTACATTACATTAAAGACCTTATTTCTAATGTTTAGAGAATACTTTTCTATGACCAAATTTAGGGGATGGATATCAACGGGTTAAATGTAATTCACATAATAAAGTAGTAGATACCCACTATTCATTATTTTTCGTAAAAGGAAAGTAATGGAAATTTCCCATCACTTGAACTGGCAAAGCCATTAAAATTTCCTTAATTCAAATGCAGAATTTTTCTAATAGTTTTCTGTTCTGGTACTCAACCAAAACAAAAAGTAACAGAATGTAATGTTTTTCATACTTTTATCATCATCAACAACATGGTTTCATCCACTGGTAGACATAGGCATATCCAATAGCAATACTCTGATGATTTTCTTTGTTTATATTATTCCAGGCGCGAGAAGAACAAGCAAAACAAGAGCAGCAACAGTGGTTACTGTTACAACAGCAAGGACTAGTGGGAGCCGAGGGTGTTACTCAGCCATATGTGCCTCCTCCCCCAGGACCTAGGCTTGATGATGAAGAAGATGATGATTACTCATAAACACACACCCTGTATATAACCCTACATTGTCATGTAAATGAAAAATAAAAGTTAAGAGATTCAATTATTTGACTGTTGATAATAATTCAAAATATTTTCAACTCTTGTATATTAAAAATACAGATAATAAAGGAACGACACTATCCTCTTTGTTTGTTTTTTTTTTCTAAATTAATAATCTGTGATTGTCATTCTGTTGTCATGACAATATCATCAAAGCATTTTGTTTATAAACAATAGCAAAATGTAACAGTATGTTATCTACAAAATGAGCAGTGATTCCAATAAGAAATACAAAAGGCCGAAACAAAATACGTTAGCAACTACAAATCCAGGAACTTCAGTAGGTAACAATCTCTGTAATAGTTTGTATGTAACACATGATAACCAATTGAATTACGGACCAGGAAATGTAGCTATCTGTGTTATGAAAGTATGTACCTAAAGAAGTTCGAAAATACTTTTGATTTTATTGCTAGGAATAGGTACCTATACTATACTGGACATACATTATGTATAAGACATTAGGTAGGTACTTCCTATAGTAACTAGGTCCCGAGCGTACGGCGCGTCGCGTTCCGCGCGCGCCTCAAAGATCCATCAGACCACCACAGATGGGGCCCAATAGGGCCGATGCCGATTCGGAGTCGCGGAGGACCTAACGGGTAACCGGGGCTCCGGCTCGACGTGCAGGAGAAGGAACGGGGTGGTTTTTAGTCAGTAAGAGTCTGACACTCCCTTCCGCCTCACCCAGGCGGGAGCAGTCATTCGATGATTTTCCCCACTTAAAAAAAAAATAGTAACTAGGTAAATAATTTGGCAATGCCACACGTCGGTTTTCTAAATAAAATTACCTAATTACTAATCAAAAAGGAATATAATTACAGAGACCAAGAAATAGGCGAAATGATGCCCTGAAAAAGCAACAACCGCTGTGTGCATTATTAGCCAAAGACTCGGAGTGGGTAGACATTCTGCAGACACCTCAAACAGATGCTGCAAGGTCGTCTACCAATGTGTCCGACGAGGAGGAAGTACTACAACTTGTAAATAAATATATTAACATAGTTTCTGAGGAATCATAACAAACCATGACGTCACGGACCTTAAACTCCAATGGGTTAGGCAGAGGTGCTCATTTACAACGCAACATAATACCCATTTATTACTGGTTAGGTTAGGCGGGTTAATGAGAATTTTCGAAAAACTCGGGAATTGGGCCCAAGACTCTTACCTACGACCACTTTAAGAACAAGGCAGTCTAAGAAAATAGTACTTATAGATTTTTTATTCCAAGGTATCATAAAATATAAAAATACACCTTACAACAAATAGTGGGTAATTTACCTACAAGTACTCACTCCATGATAGGAACATTTTTTTCGTCACATCGATCGAAATTACACCGTTCCAGTTTAAAATTTGGTGAATGTTAAGAACTGTTTTAGGTAGAATGTGAAGATGGCCCTCAAATGAAACCACTGGCTATTATGTTTCCGGGGTTGCTCGACAAAGATCCTAAAACACTTCAAGGGATGCTGACTAAGGCTATGTCTACAACTGAAGTAACAAGACATTTGGTGGACCTTGGACAAAAAGCTAATTTCACCTTTATGAAAAAGGCAGATCGCTTAATTCCCCCAGGCAAGGTAACTAGTGCAGCTAATAAGTAGACTGAAGATAGATGATAGAAAGTCATTTCATGTTGGTTATTATTGATCTGTATTCCCAAGGAAGCTAGGGAATACATTGTTCTTACACAATTGAACCAACAAAACCATGTTGTATTACTTGACTCATAATCATAATTACTATTTTAACAGCTTATAAAAGTTAAGTGTTTATTATTTCATGGGGACGAATATGAGAATTTTACGAATAATTTTAAGCCCGTGAGATAATGAAAGTCTCCTTCGTCTTCACCAGGCGAAGCGACTCCATAAGAATTTTCCAACTTGAGGTCAATAAGGGCGCTGAACATTATGAAATAAAACAAAATACTTTATTCTATAATATTATATTGTTGTTTACAGCAATGGATGGAAAGTTTGACTGAAAACAGCAATTCATATTGTTCCATAAACTCTGGGCTACTTAGCAACTGTAAGTATTTTTAACATTTTTTTTTGTAATATCAACAAATAATAATAAATATCCATTTAATTTCTTCGTTTTCCTTTTTAACAATATTTGTAAATGTAACAAAATTATTTGGGAAGGTATATCAAGTGACTATGAAGCAGATAATGAAATAGCCGACGGAGAATGGAGTGAGAATAAAATAAAGAAGAGAAAAAAGCACATTGGAAGCACTAATCAATCAACTCCGGAAGATTTGAGTTCACACGACATTATTAACACAGGATACTATTTTAAGTAAGGCAAACTAAATTGTAAAACAACAAATATATTACTTATACTTCATTTCAACATGATATTTTTGCAGCTATGAAGATTAGAAACAGAAGCAAGTACAAAGTAATGAAATTCAAACGATTTATATACAAAAAATAACAATTTAAAAGCGTAATATTATACATCTAAACATTTGTTTTATTTAAAGAATAAACTGAATATATCTTCTATTATGAATGATTGGATGAAAACACACTTCAGCAATGATTTGATTGCGTACATTTATATAATTATGTATAATGTACAATTAACTGCATCACAGTAATTTTAAGGCCACGTTGTAGCCGCGACGTACGTATAGTCAACCAAGTAATTTGGTATACAGGTAAAGAAAATAAAGATTAATTCAATACAGATACTGTAACTGGTTGGCTGGTGAGCCGACCAAAAGCTACAACGATTGAGCTTCGTTAAAAAGCATATAATTGAATATAACAATAGCTATTGTCTTTGTACTGACACTTTTTCCTTACCTAGATACGAAATGACTTAACTGAATGCTCGTATCGCGCTTTCAGAGTGCATGAGTACTGAAAATAGGCTGTAAGTACAATTTTTACAATGAACAAGATATGGATACAATACTGAGGAGTGTTCTCATCCTAGCAAATAAACATCTATTCTTAGACACGTTAAATTGGTTCACTAAGTACATACAAAACATTTCTCCTTAATATTGTACATGACATATAACAAATCGTATGAACAATCTTATAGAATGCAATAACTTTTCAAACTATGTACCAGTAGAGTAGTATTTAAATATCTATCCAGCATAAATTCGTGAATAAAGTTAAGTATTCTTATGAGAAAAGTCGAATTGTGGCAATAAATTTGTCTTAATACCAATAGACCCATATTGTGTGACCAATTGTTATAAATCTGGCTTCTATATACATATTTTATTGACAAAAGCGAATAACAAAATGAAGTATTGCAAGCATAAATAATATGCTTAGAATAGAAAAATGCAATGGATGCAGCGCTAATCGGAGCAGCAAGAAGTATTTCCCCATTTATAAATCTGTTGCGGTACTTATTCATGTTTCTCATGGCCACAGTTTGAGTCAAGACAAACATATTTCCACGTATAAAGTATGGAATTGTTAAACAGCTGAAAATGAGTTGCATTAATTTCTGCAAAAGGTGACGCAAGCCGCCCAATAAACATTTTCATAACGCAAACTTGTAGCTGCATAATGAGATTAAAAAAATAGCTATTTATAAAATATCACTAGCATTTAAAATAAGTATTTAAAGAAAATATTCTTAAACTCTACGAACACATGAGCAAAAAACATTATTTATTAAAAATACATACCATACTGATCGATTCCGTTAGTAATAAATTTTCTATTTACATTACTATTGCATGAACATACAGTTTCACGTCACGGACTCACGACTCCGGGCTGCAGATATAAAAACCAATCGGAGTGTGCTAAACATGCTATTCGGTAGCTGCTTTCTAAAACTACTCACATAAATATCCATACTAAGATGTTGTAACCCCGATACACTCCGACTGACTCTCACAAACAGGCCCAAGTTAAATTAATTAATAAATATATACATACATAATTACTTATACATTTTAGAAGAATATTAAGCAGATAAATAGAATTATAACATACAATAATATCTTTATCTTCACTCGCATTAACTACCCTACAAATTAAATTTACCAATTACTGCTAGACTGCATTTCCTGACATATGAAAACGATCTGACATTATGAGATGACTATCTTTAAATAGTAACAAGATATAATGACGATATAAGTTTTTTATTGTATATTGTATATAATAAGGCTATAAAATCTATTGCTATTAATGTTTTTAGAATTTATTTTTAAGTTAACCGTCTACACGCGCTATTATAAATGCTATTTCCTTACCGCTGACCCTAAAGACTTTCGCTGGGGTGCGACGTAGCCAGGCGTTTATTGAAAGAACTCAAATCGGATTTCCACTCGACTCGATTTGTCACAGAAATCATTTTTTAACTTAGTTACTCTAACCCGAAAACTGAACTCCGCATACATTACATGATCAGACCTCCAGCGAAACTACTTTTACTAGTCTAAACTTTCGCTAAGGTATGAAATTCAAAAAGTTTAAAACACGTAAAAGGTCTGAGTGATCGCACCCCAGCACCCGAAAGTCTCCACTGACCGTCACCATCTATTTATTCTATCGACACTATCTTCAATTACCAATTCTCTAGTAATGACTATAAATGACAATAAATCGCTACCGTATTACAAAAATACAATAAGTCTATTTTTTATGAGAAAAAGAATATCACACGCGAGGTGCCACCCATAAACCACTTCCGACTATTTGAAGAAAGCTCTGTACTATATTTAAACCTTATAATCTATATAATAAGTATATTCACTTCATTTTTATTGAGCAGTCGGTATATGTGTTTGCATGCAAGCAGGCACTGTTTTGTTTCAATCACACTTATTTTATTAAGCATATTTGTTAATTTTAGTGGTTTCTGGATGGTTAGCTAATCTCATGTACAAATATTATTTTATTGTAAATAATTGTGTACCTATGTCAAATTTAAGCGTATTTAATATTAAACTAGGCATTTACATAACACATACATGGAACAAATGGAATAGTTTCCATACAGATATTTTTGTCTTATTTACTTCAAGAATAGAAATGCGAAAATCTTTCAAAATACTGAGTTTTTAATTACCCAAAACATGGAATTAGGGTCCTCAATTACGGATTGAGGAACTTATGCTTGTATTCTGACGATGTACAAAATTTATGTACGCCTTAACTTACGAAATTTTCCCCATGCGACCACTTGCGAACAATTTACTTCACAGTCCTTAAGCTATCAATTATTATAAAATACAAAGACAATTATGGAGCTTCTATAAAACATTATCCACAATGTATAGGTGTGGTATAAAAATACCTTCATTATTTTTATAGATATTCTGAAGACTCCTGAAGTACTTGTTTAATATTCGTATATTCGCGAAATCAGGATTTATAAGTAGTATATTCTTTTGAGAATGGATTATTTAATAAAATTCGACTAATAAAGCGTACCTAGTTAATATTTGGAAGTTAATTTGATTGAGTATAGTAACGTTGCATACAGTAATTTTCTGCTTTCTATAAATATCTTATTAAAAAATATCTTTAACAGTTTTTTTTTGTCACCATAAACATTTAGGCATATTAAAATCTGTATTAATTAACAAGTTATATGGATTTCATAGCAAGTTATAATAGGTTATAGGTAGGTTTCATGAACTCTCTAGCAATACACATGTGTGAACCGATAACCTAAAGAATGTTTCAAAGTAAAACAATTTGACATCCTCTTTTTGTCATATAGTTATTAATTAATTGCTTGCAAGGTGTACCGAAGTAATTTTATTATTCCTCTTAGTGCACGATATTACCTCTACACAGTTATCATGCAACCAATTGATCTGTTCTTTGAGTCTTATACAAATGAGTTTTCAATATATTTTTTTTATATTACAGCATCAATATAAATCTTGTAAGCATAATTTTAACCATACTCAATATCCCTAAGTTTTTAATGCTTACATCTTCTATTTGGTTAGTGTTTATACAAGTAACCCTACAATATAACACAACCGTGTAAACCATGAGGTTTTTTGTATCATAATTTAATCTTCTTTCTAGTTATTTAGGTATATTCTGTTAAAAAATTATACTTTCAATTCAACAAATGGGTCTAGCAATTTAATGTAAATAAATTTTATGCTACTGTTAATGTGCACAAATCTTGCCATCACATAAGACTTGTATGAGTCTTCCAAGTACCAGTAGACATTACTATATTTATTTTGGTCAACTTGTAGTATTGCTGGACTGATACAGCCCCAACATAATCTGAACACTGCCTTCCAATTACACATTTAACTAGTTTTGACACATCAACAGTAATACACATACTTACTATAATAAACCATTCACTAATTCTACTTCAAGTATTATAAATTCTCAACTGTACAATTAATTAACACATCAAATCAACTTCAAAGGAACATTTACACTACACATCACCTATAGTAATTATTAATATTAAAATCAATTATTATTGCATCATTTAGAGTACAACATCATTATCATTAAACATTTTATAAGCCAAAATTCACCATGATCAACATGAGAGAACATCTACCTGGACCAGTAAGTTAGAGGTACCTACGTTATTAAGGGATGAGGGAGCGAGCTGGGTCAGATTTCGTGAGGAGCACGCCGCCGAGCAGTGCGAGGGCCGCGGCGGCCGCCAGGCGTCACGCGCGCGGCCGCGACGCGGTACCAGGCGCGCGCGCGCATGCGCACCGTCATTGTGTCGGCTTCAGAGCTGCCATCTTACGCCCGCGCGCACGTGCTTCCTGACGCGATGTGGTGTACTCGAACCACAGCACATTTGGTATCAGTGTCGTATCTCTGATCATCAACATTTCACATAGTTTCCTGGAAGGTAACAATAACATGTTTTGAATAATAGGTAACAAGGTAAATTTTAGTTGAAAATTATATAATTACTTACAATGAGACTAGCTGTGGAAATAATGGAGTGAAAACTCTGTGAACTATTGCAAACCAGACAGTTGCAAATATGAACCCGACGATGCCTCCAACAACAACTTGGGAAGTGGTGTGGTAGTGCAGGTACACCCTGGCAATGCTCACTAGCAGAGCTAGGCACATGCAGCCTCCTACTATAATCACCCTCCATAGAGCTGATATTATACTGTTGTTGTTAATGTGATGTAATCTGGAAATGAAAAACAGATTGCATTAGATGAATACTATTTCTAGTAATAAACCTTAAACTACTGAAGATTGTATAAAATTGTATTATATTCTATTAAAATATTGGAAATCCAATTCAAGATGTACAATTATTAATACCATTACTTTGATATGCAATACATTAGATTAGTATAATTTATATATTCTTAAGTATATCAACACAATGTGAAAAATATAATTTAATAACCCACCTGATTAAGACAAAGTAAAAAACATAGATACTAAAGAACCAAACAAATTGAGCATGTGATGAGGGCATCCCATATTCATTATATAAATTTCCTCTCGAGAGTGGTCTAGCTTCACATACTATGTGCTTCAAAATTATATTCAACACTTCATTTACCAGTGTACCAGTGAAAAATGTTATCTGCAAATTAAAGAACAATATATTAGAATTACAAAGTAGCAGTGTCATATAAGAAAGACTAAAGACCATTTAATGACTAGGTACTCAAATAATATAAGGCTGAAAGGATCAGTGTCAAAAGAACATTAATCAAACTAAACATGGTCAACATTTAAATTTACTAAAACAAGTTCTTATATATAATGAGGATTTTCTGGTCAAAAAAGAAAATATTTTAACTCACAGTATGAAGATCTCGCCGGAATAAAATAAGCGCAACAAATCCAGCACCAATACCAAATGGGGACAGGCTTATAAACGCAAAGAATTTACCAAGCCAGTCTCCTGAAATCATAATTATTAGGGATCATAAATGATGGATATACTATACGTTAAATAATTCAAACATTATAGTTAAAATTACCTTTTGGATACTCAACTAAAGTAAGAGCCAGCGGTTGCCATTCGATTTCACCGTTATTATGCAAAACATCACTCACAGATATAGCTTCTTCCTCCATTTTCGCTTCATTTGCTAGAATAATGTACAAGTTATGAAATTAGTACAAATCCTATCAAATATTCCAAAGATAAAAATAATACAATAAAAAACTCGACTCACAGAATTCACAACACTGCCGACAAGTAGCTCGACACGAAACAAGTTTTTGACAATTTCTGAACAATCAATCAAACCCTCGTTGACATAAGATAGTATTGTCAATGCGAAATAACTTGATAGAAACTATTTACATTTTGTCGGTTGGTAACACACAATTTCCAATCAACTTTATCGGATGTTGAATAGCTATCTTTATTTGCATTTTCGAAGATTTTCATCCGGATTTTCACAGATCAGATTTTCTCTATGGTTATAACCCTACTATCGGTCTGGTAACTGCTGGTAACCCTGAACGGTTCTTTTGTGGATTCGTCGTCAAAATAAAGAGGGCTAAAATTCTTGAATAAATTGTACTTGAAAAATTACAAAATATAAAATGGCAGACTCAGATGTAGTGGACTTGGATTTAACTATTGATAATTTAGTTCCGAAGAGTCCCGAAAGGTGAATACTTGATATTATTTATTATTCAATAAGATTATGCCAAAATTCCTTCATGTTTTTTGTAGATAAGTGAAACAGTAAAAACAAATAAAAATATTGCAATAGGTGAAGGCTCGAGACTTTCTGTTAAAATAATTAACATTCTAAATTTTATACAATAAGGGTGCCTTGACATATGACCTACATTTAGTACAATAGCCCGATCTTGTGTGGGAGTCCATCGATGTGCTTATTAGAATCGACGCAAACTCATTACTTTCGCACTTATGACGCATTTCCACACAAATAAATAGCGGTTGCTTTGAAGTCCACCCAAACATTGTTACACCTAGATTCCTTGATCTATGTTTAACAAAGAATCGCTGCAAGTTCAGGGTGAATCAGCTGTGTTTCATGCGATTGATAACACATGGATGCGTAATAATAACACATATGCAATAGCATATGTGCATCCAACATATTATTATATGTTGACATACAGTTAACTTTAGTTTGATCTTCATCACTCAATACCAATCTTATACTATTTTAGGGTGGCTGAAGAAAAGAAAGAAAGTGGTAACCATTTGTACAAATTCAAAAATTACAAGGGTGCCTTGACTATGTATGATGAAGCTATTCAGCTTTGCCCTGAAAATGCTGCATACTATGGCAACAGATCCGCATGCTACATGATGTTGGGAATGTACAAGAAAGCCCTTGAAGATGCACAGAAAGCTGTTTCTTTAGATTCTACTTTCACAAAGGGATACATCCGCATGGCTAAATGCTGTATTGCACTGGGTAAGTGTTTTAATTTGATTGGCATACAATTTTCTGAGTATTGTATAGTATTTCAAATGAAACCTTACAATAATGTTGATATACCTAAGGTGATTGAAGAATCACTGTGTACATACTTCATATTATAGGTGTATTTATCAACATGCCTGTTAAAATAACGCTATTGTATAAGTACTGAAGGTCGTAAATAGTGATGTCATATAAGAATGTTGACTAAATAGGCTGACTTTATCATCCTAGACCTCCTGCTTTAACCATCCCATGTCCGGCAATAGCAAGATAAAACAAGTTATCATATTTACATGAGTATTTGTGGTTTCAGTCACATGTATTTTTTGCAATATCATTTAGTATTATTAATACCCAGTTTGTTTACAATACCACTTTGTTAAACAGCTGTTTCAACATTTCTTATAATATTCTTATTGTAAGGAAATATGGCTACTCACTGCAGAATGCAAAACTATCATTTTAATCAGGTTATTGTTTGAATAATGATGATGATAAAGTTGTAATTGCATTCAAGATGTTTAACTAAAAAACTTTGCAGTGACAAACTACTAAAAGACATGTGCAACATGTTTATGTTACCGTTTTGCATCAACTAAACAACATTAAACTTAATGATGCATGGTTAGGCAACCAAACCCACACAAAATTATTCTTTGTGTTTGCTACAAATTGTTATTTGTCATGTAGTTGTATTGTACTTGTAAACACACCCACAAGCCACAATATACATTTGAAATAATAACAATCTACTTTCCTCTACTTTAATTACGGGGCAACAGCCAGTGACTTTTTCGTTTTGTTATAATTAATTTGCACAATAAAAATGTTGCTAATTGTAAAATAATCGAATCAGGTGACCTATCGGGTGGTGATCAGGCGGTGCGACGTGCAAGTGAGCTCGGAGGCGCGGAGTGCGCGGCGAGCGAGAGACGTGCTTTGGAAACATTACGAAAGCTGCACGAGGATGCTCAGCGCGCAATGGAAACAAACGACTATCGCCGCGTTGTATTCTGCATGGACCGCTGCCTCGACTATAGTCCCTCTTGCACTAAGTGCGTGCAGATATTTTAGCAATAACGCTTAAGTTCCAACTGTTCAAGTTTATACATAAGCTTATCAAGCTAATCTGCTTGTAACAACGACACACTGATCAGATCTTTATAGTAATTATTTTCAAAACAGAACATAACGCCTTGGCCATAGGAATAAATAGAGGTACACAATGTGCCTACAGTCCGGCCTTTTTAAAAACAAATTATATATAATGTTTTACAGTAAATATACTGATCAGCTCTAAATACACTGACCAACAAGATTTGTTTTTGAAAATGTCCTGTGTAAATGAATCTTTAATCTTGAAGTAAACAATTTTTACTCATCGAACATTGAAATCTTCGTTCATTATTGAAATGTTGTATTTTGAATATTTTCCAGGGCGAAGCTCACAAAAGCAGAATGCTTAGCTATGCTTGGAAGGTGTCAAGAGGCTCAGGAAATTGCTAATGATTCATTAAGGTTTGACAGTTTTGACACAGAGGCTATATATGTGCGTGGATTGTGCCTGTATTTTGAGGTAATATATACTTTTAAGATTATATTAAACCTTCTGAGAGATATATTAAATTGATTATTATGTTTTGGGCTTATTAACTGTTTGATGGGGAACTTAACTAGTTTTAACTCGTTGAGTACCGTCATTATAGACACAAATAAAGAACAATAGCTTGCGGCCACCGGTGACCGCGCGGTGTTTGACAGTTTAAGACATGTTAGAGACTCATAATTATGAGCAGCATTCCGCGACCTGTGAAGCTGCGACTGTCGCGCTGCTACTAGCTGAAACTATGGCTTGAAACTAGTCGAGTTCCTCGGCAAACAGTTACGTGAGTAAGGATAATTGAGTTAAGAATAATTTTTGTGATTATTTTTATACATAATATTATAAACTTATAGACTGCAGATCTAACTCAAGAAATTGTTTAATGTTACAGGATAAAGATGAACAAGCATTTAAGCATTTCCAACAAGTTTTACGACTTGCTCCTGACCATAAGAAAGCTATGGAAACTTATAAAAAGGCTAAATTGCTCAAACAAAAGAAGGAAGAAGGTAAAATATCAGCTGGGTTTATAAAACAGATATTTATTATTCACAAAGTTTTATACAATACCGATTTAAATTATTTTGCATTTTAAACTGCACCTAAAATCAGTTGATGGATACTAAATCCATCAACCGATTTAATAATTTAATGCAATTGTCACTCCAGGTAATGAAGCATTCAAAATGGGTAGGTGGCAGCAAGCTCTGAGCCTCTATAATGAAGCTTTGACTATTGATAAGAACAATAAGATTGTAAATGCTAAACTGTACTTCAACAAGGCAACAGTGTGTGCTAAACTGAACCAAATCAAGGAAGCTGCTGAAGCTTGCACTGCTGCCCTCGAACTAGACGAAAACTACGTGAAGGCGTTACTTCGACGTGCCAAGTGCTACACTGAACTAGGTGAATTCGAAGAAGCTGTCAAAGATTACGAAAAGCTCTACAAGATTGACAAGAGCAAGGAAAATAAGCAATTACTGCATGAAGCCAAAATAGCTCTTAAAAAATCGAAACGCAAAGACTATTATAAAATACTTGGCATTGACAAGAGTGCTTCAGAAGATGAAATCAAGAAAGCATATAGGTAACAACTCAAGGAATTTTTAAACATGCAATGAATATATCTATTTATCTAATTCTGCGAAATAACTTTAATCAAAACAACAATTGCAAGATAACTACATAAGTCATAGATAAAGGAATTTTAAAAGTACAATAAGAATTTAAATATGTTATGAATGAAGTATCTATATATATTTTGCGTAAGAAGTATGTATACTATTGGCGTAACCTTGGCATAAATCCAGACTCTTTGCTGCTTCTACTACAAAAAAATATATGTAGAAATTAAATAGATATATAGAAATTAAATAGATATATAGAAATTAAATAGATATAATATATAGAAATTAAATAGTCTGTTTTAGGTAGATCAATACTGTAACAAATATAATGGATGTTATAGGAAGCGCGCCCTCGTCCATCACCCAGATAGGCACGCGGGAGCACCCGACACAGAGCGTCGTGAGCAGGAGCGCCGTTTCAAAGAAGTGGGTGAGGCGTACGGGGTACTTAGCGATCCCAAGAAGCGCGCGCGCTATGATCACGGACAAGATCTCGACGATGATGGCTCCGGCATGGCAGGTTGGTAACAAGTCGTTTATGTAAATAAATAAGTATAATCCAAACGTATAAGGAACTTTCAAAATACGATATGTTTGAAATACTCACGATTTATGTTGAATGTAGTAAGAAATTTGTAGAAAATGTGGGGCTAGCAAAACGTTGCTTGTAAAACCCATACTCCCTAAATGCTTCCAACATTAAATTTTACTTTGCGAGTATGCAACAAAGCATTGCATAATTTCTAAACTACTGATTAATATTTACAGATATTGACCCCAACGTAGTATTCCAGACCTTCTTCAACCGTGGTGGACAACATTTTGATTTCGGCGGCCGATTCCCAGGGAACACTTTTGATTTTCATTTCGGTTAATTTCCTTCATATGTTACTTATGACCGTAATTTGAACAATCAACAAAAATGTTATGCATAAATTAACAAAATTGTATGTGTACATTATAGAATTTAAAAAATGTTCTAGCTGAACACAATAATATACATCATTCCACATTAAAATATATAAACACAACTTACTCAAAGAGTGATTAATATTTTGGCAAAATTATTTGGTTTTATTTTTCCTCTGTTTGAAACAGTTATAGAAGTGCTCTATTTTAATGAATAATTGCCATACATTATCACAACGAACGATGACCAAGTATGTTGAGGAGCACATGTGTTATTAACTGTACATGATATGGTGTTGCGTTCAAAACCGTAGTACCTAATTATTATAATAATGACTGATTTGGTTAAGTATTTTTTGATTGTTAGCCCACTGGCGAAGTCATGTGAACATGCTTAATGTAATTTAATGATGAATAAAACTAGAAAATAACTATGAGTACCTAGGGAGTTTTAATGAATTGTCTCTCATTACCCGATGGTAACTCAAGAACTGACCCAATAACAATTTACAAAGCTACGAATACAAAAAAAAATGTAATATTAGAAGGTAAAAATATACCTAAATGTGTCATTTTCGATTTCTTTAAAACCGATTGTCCTGCCAAACTTACTGACTGCTATGTATTTGATAGTTTTATTATTGTAACCTGCATAAGTAGTTTCCTTCGTCACTTTTATTTGAATCACGAATATGTCATGATTGTTATAATAAAGTATATGTAAGTAAAAAAAATACCAAGATTTATAGTAACTACATATTTGCGAAAACGATTTCAATATTTACTCAAATCTGTAAATAAAAAAGAAATGAAAGAGAAGTTTACTTAGTAATTTTATTCTTAAGATTGGGGTGTGTTCAATCAATGGAGTAGAGTGAAATAATAATTATTATTCATGGAACATTATCTTAATAGACGGCTTTCACAGTAGTTTAATATAAATGGAACTTTAATAAAAATATCCTCTAATTGGATGTTAATTTTTATTTTCCTACAAAATCCGCAGTTATTTACAATGTTAATATCTCTTTACTTGCATTAGCAGTCTTTGTAGTAGGTAAAGGAATGAATAGAAATGATTTTACAGTCTATTATATGATATGAATGTGTAAGAAACAACGTATACCTACTACAAAACGCTAAATGTAGTACAAAAACAATAAAACATAGTTTTGGATATTTTGTAGTTTTTATTGCAGTCAATTTGGAACCTACTAGATAGATAGAAAATGTATTCACTAAACGTCATTTCTATATTATTTATTCGCCTTTACTATTTTCTTGAGATATGCTTCCTTTCGTCGCTTTATCGTTTGGTGGACGTTTAGAATCAAGTTTACCTTTAATACCTTCAAACCTGTAATTGATACCAAGTATAAAAATTTTCATAGAAATTGACAAGACGTTGTATAATTTGGTAAACATCTCTATGAGATGTGTTTAAAAGATCAGACTCAGTCACAATACCTAGGTATTTGTTTTAGTTAGATAATATATCCTTGTATTGTCCTACACACCCAGGTATGTAACATGTAGGTACCTATATCAATATTTTTACGTGGACTCCATTTACTTGTGTCGTGCGTGAGTTTACAAACATAAATTCATATACCTACACATGATAATTATCCAAAGTCCTGGGTACTTATTCTTGAAACCAATCTCAATGTCAATGCAATTTCAATCCAATAAAATCTCAATAATTATTCAATGTCAAAACTATACAACCCCTATCGCAACTGTTAAAATAGCATTCAGAGTACGGAAGGAATATAAAGCCAAACTCAATATCCTTTAGTTCATTTAATATCCACGCAATACGGATGCAATGGGCGCTAGTATTGCAACTCAAGAGTACGAAATATTACAATCGATCGGTCGGAATTGGATTCAAGAGTAAGCCCCCAGACCCAGAATAACAATGTACCTACTCGTACACTTACCAATGTGCCAATCGTGCAGTCGACCTATGTACTTACACGGTAAGTTTATTACAAATTCCATTTCTATCACTGCCAGTCGGAGCTATGTATTTCTTACTTTCTGAATCACTATCATTTTCAAAATACTCACTTTTTCATTTTAAATGGTTTCTTCTTTTCTGGTTTTGCAGGTTGATGATTAGTTTTAAAAGTAAGAACATAACGTTTCACAACGTCTACATTTACTGTGGTGTTTTCAGGATACATTCGCTTTTTCCAAGCTTCAATTTCATCTATCCACATTCTCTGATACTCGTATGAGAGCAACCATTCAATACGTGGGTGACCTTCCTGTTAAAAACAGATAATCGTGGGTAGGAAAGTAAATTAATATGTTATGAAAAGGTTATTGAACCAGATACAAAACAATACTTAGGTAAGTACTTTACTGAAATAATTCTAAATCATGAAAAATCTCAGATTACCGAACCTTGGGAGAATCGACTCGCGAGTTCCATAATGTGCTACCGTCGTGACGGTAGCTGATTATTTGCTTAAAGGTTACCTACCTAAGAATAAAATGGCCACTATTTTTCATAACACTCATTTATACATTGGATTACATAAACAAATTATTATCCAATACGTGTGCAACTTACCATAAACTTCCATGGTTGGGGGTTATACTTGGGAAAATCTGAAGAAATGATGTTGTGAACAGGTCGACATTGTGTAGCTTTTTCCCATTTTATACCCGACATTCGACCCATGGTAGTTTTTAATTTAGATGTCCATGTGTAAACGTTATAAAAATACAATGAAATAAGATTAACTTCAAAATATGACGATGGTCATGTCTATAGTCTATCGGAGAAATATGACAACTTTTGAAAAAGAGAACACCTATCTATGCATCTATGGTGGAGCGAGCGACTGTAGGATGGCCCCATAGATTTATATCATATCAGTGGATGGCCCTTACTAATCATACTCTTTGGGATGGCCTATCAAACGGAGTAGGTACATAGGAGCAACCACAGATAACCAGTTTTTTTTAGCCGCAGGATTCCCACGAAGTTTTCATTCTTGTTTTGTGCGGAAATCGAACCCGCAGCAGCCGGTAACAGTGACCCAACAATCACTGCACCAAGGTCTAGGGTAGGTAGGTAAGTAGACTCATAGTACCTATTAGGCACTGACATGAAAACAGAAACTTTCTTGCACTATTCAATTCACATTGAACAAATTGTCAGTTATCTCGCCGAAATAAAACAGGACCAGTGTTGTAAGGGCTGATTAACGTAAAACATTTTTATGACTGGGCAGAAATGTCGTCTATTTGCACCTTGTTGACAGATTATGGTAAAACTCTTTAGTAGAGGAGAATTATGTAAAAGTAGTTTTAGCTTAGCAAAACATGCATAAAAATACTATGCACAAAATGAAACCTGTTTTGCTTATCAATAACACATCCATGAGGTACAATTTAGGTTAGAAACAATTCTTCGAGGTAGGTCTTAGGTACCGTGAAATGGGGTGAATAAGGACAGAAATTCTTCATAGTATCGACTCGCCCCTCTTCGTCCCAGTTTACCATACCTTTATTAATTATTAAAGGATCCTAAATGAAATAAAAAGGCTATTGATTTTTAGTGGGTTTTTATTTGATACACTAGTAGTTATTAGATGATCCTAACTTCCACACGGTGTACCTGCAACAATAAAAAAACATAAGTATTTGATTTTCTTTCAGAGTAAAAGAGCATTTATCTCTTTTTGTAGTTTGTATGCTTTTCAAACAAAAATTCTGTAATCACAGAACTTTTGTTAACCTTATTCCTTGTAACACAAATAATATTCCAAGGGTGGAAAAAGCATACTTCTATGCCCTCGTATTCTTTACGTTAATCTCAAAATGAAATAACGACTGCCTCAGAGGGGCTCATTACATTACTATAAAAACCTAGACCTACTATAGACTCATGAATATTATATCTTTCACACATAAACAATTACTGATACTATGTAAATATTACTGCTATGGTGTAAACAAAAATGTACAATAAAATTTAGAAATTATTAGAAATCCAAGAATATTAAATTGAAAGTTTATTTAACCATCCATGGCTGTAACTACGGCGCTTAAAATTATAAATGAGTAGTTAACAATATTACTTGACTTGTAAAAATACCATGCTATTTGTTAACCTCCAAATGATAAACACAAACTTGTTGGGGCATCATTTCACCAAAATTTGGATATAAACAGTATGAGTGTCCAGTGTAAAAATATAAAAGTGCCCACATGGTATTTAATTATGGATCCTCTTTCGAGACCTCATACTAAGGACTTTTTCTATTAGATATAGATCAACAATATTTTGATAAAAACAGTAGAGTCCAGTGTACAAAATGTTAAAAATAAAGTGTCAACATGGTATTTAATCTTGGATCCTTTCTTGAGACCTATGGTATAAGGGACCTTTTCTGTTAGAAACAACTACTTGAGCAATGACTGGCAGCAGCTAGCCGCCAATCAATCATGACAGATAACTGTTTTGGGTTGAGCACGCGATATTTTATTCCCACGTGCGATTAACTAGAAAATTATAAATGACAAAAGCCTGTTTCTAATCGAACATTAATGATGTAGTAAACAATACGCATACTTACGATTTCGTAAAAAATGCTATAGTTTAGGATTAATATATTTTAAGGTTATGTATACTGCTTTACGATGGAAGTCTTCGGTCTAAAAGTACTATAAAGTAGAAATTACCTATAAACAGCGGTGAGTAGCCTAATATGGTAACCTTAAAATGAAAATTGTACAAAGATATCGTGCGTATACGTATAAGCTTCGAAATACTGTGCGAATATTGTTGCTATGAAAACCAGGTTATGTTAATTGATGTATCTACTAAAATAAGTAGCAAGCCGGTTCGGTATGAGTTTTAACCTAATGAACACTTGGAAGTTTAATAGAAGTATAATGGAAATGCAACATATTAAATGTAACTTGTAACTTACCATTTTATTTGGACCTCGCACGCATCTTCCTCCTTTTGCGCTTTAGCCTTCGCATGCGCTTCTTACGCCACTGAAACAATTAAACACCACAAGTCAAAACGCGGTTCAGTTGACACAAGCACAACATGATTTATAAAACAACTTGCTTATACTTAAATATAAAATTTAAATAGTAATGTACCTTTGCTCTCATGTTTAAGAAGGAAAAACTTTAACTTTCCTCCTTCAAAAGGAGTTCGTGATTATTAAGGAAATTCACGATGCAGATATCGGTCTGTGCTCGAGACTCCGTAGAATGAAAAGAAGGACGATGCGATGTTTTCAAGAGACCTGACAGTGATGCGATGTTGCCATTGCAAAATATTTTTAAAAATAGTGTTAACCACATACGAACAGATTTGTCCCCGACGTTTTAATCTGATTGTTAGTCAAGTTTCAATAGTTATTATTATCTTTTAAGAAAATACTAAATATATTTCGAAAAAGGTGTTAGATTAACAGGTTTAAGATTTTTAGTAAAGACTATTTAATATCTAAGTCGACTGAAAATTATGATATGTGAGATTAAACGGTTTCTGTATTTGGTGACTATTTCAGGGACCATTTGTAATAAATAATCTGTATAAAATAATTTCATATTAGGACCCGGAAGAACGATCCAAAGTCTTCGTTTTTTCCTTAATTAGGGGATAAAACCTCTAAATTGATAACCCTAGTCATAGTATATCACAGTCTATAGATATAATTATAGTCTATGTTTTTTATGCTGATAGAGTGTTGGCAATATTTTGACTTTTAAGGGTTACCACAAATTACTAATTATTATTTTATTTCGTAATCGCACTTAGAGTTATTAATTAATTACTCGAAACAAAATAATAATATTTATGTTACATTTAAGATACATTGATATTTTATTTCATGATATATAAACTTAGTAGCTATTTAAGTTAATAGCTATTCTGTTTGCGTAACATTATACAAATTTTTGATTACTTTCCCTTCTTCCCAACAAAACCAAATTTCACAAATGAATAAACATTTTCCATAAAAAATCCATTTAATCTATAATAATAATAAATAAATAAGACTGAAACTATGATTATTCATCAATGAAACGTGTTTCAAAATGGACTAGGTATGTTAGACAACTAGCAAACTAGCTGTTGCCCGGGACTTAGTCCGTGAATAATGTCGCGGGGTGGTTTTTAGTCAGTAAGAGTCTGACACTCCCTCCCGCCTCACCCAGGCGGGAGCAGGCATTAGATGATTTTCCACCCTTTAAAAAAAAGTCCGTGAATAATATGAATTTTAGACCATAACTTATTTTTTCTTTCAATTTTCCAAAATGAAGTCCTCCAGCTACTTTACTAGCTTTCAGCTCCAGCTGGAGGAGGCCCTCCAGCTACCTTAGCTGCCAGCTTAAAGTCTTGCAAAATCGATCCAGCCATTCCAGAGATAAGCTAATTTGTACTGGCAGACAGACAGACAAAACATTGAAAAAAATTGTTTGGTATATGTATCGTATATGCATGGTATATATTCTTAAGCATGTATTAAAAAGCGGTTATTTTAATATTACAAACAGATACTTTTATTTATCTGTATAGATTAAGAATGATCTCTAATGATCAATTTAAATTTGCATTGTTGTGTTAATTATTTATTGGTTTTGTTAATATTATATGGTCTTTGTGATTACTACTGATAAGATAACTACAATATGTACATAGGTGAAGAAAGGGCAAATGGTTATGGTTTAAATCTTAGAGATGGACTAGCTGAACCCGCAACTTCGTCTGCGTTTTTCTATTAGCTACCGTCCAATAAAAGTCACGTCAAAATCGGCCCAGTAATTTCAGAGATTAGCCAGTACAAACAGACAGACAGGTACAAATTTTAAAAGGTGTTGTTTTGGTATTTGTGTCGTAAGTATATTTATATGCATGTACTAAAATAACCAGCAGTTATTTCAATATTACAAACAGACACTCCATTATAACTTATATGTATACTAGCGACCTGCACCGGCTTCGCACGGATGCAATATGTATGTATTATACGTATAAACCTACCTTAAGAATCACTTTCTATTCTAAAAAATATGATTCTAAAAAACCGCATCAAAATTCGTTTCGTAGTTTAGTTATAAGCATACATGGGGGACAGACAGACGGCGGATAGCGACTTTGTTTTATTTAGACTATGTAGTGATATGTATAGTTATAAAGGCAGAATATTTTAAACTTTTTAAAATATTAATATAAATAAAATAAATAATTAATATTCTTTTTTATTCGTTGTTTTAGTTAATTTTGAATTGTATATATTTATTCATAATATTATGTTAGTTAAGTGTAATATTTGTAAATAAACAATAAAAAATAATATCGTGAGTATTTTTATTACAAACTTGTTTAAGAATATTAAGAAACGCATAACATAATTACAGATAGGTAAATAGACGCGATTTGTAAAAAAAAACTATAAACCCATGCTCAACCCATTACATGCTCTGTGATCTAGGCTGTATATGTGCGTTACCTTGGCATTTTCGCGTAAAGTATAAAATGTACCAGGATTACCAACTTTAAATTATTAAATGACATGACAGCAATGAACGGTGACATTTGGTGCGCTAGATAACCAAGATATTCGCGCCAAAAGTGTTAGTTATTAAATTAATTGTTGTTCTGGTGTTAAAACTTATTACTTGAAGATATCGGCACGGTAAGTGTTTTTATTTACATGCTGGGCTATGAATATTAGCGTACATATTTCAAATCATTGATTCGTGATGTCTCTCAAATATAAATAAACCAGTGTTACCAACTTAATCGACTTTCATGGCGATACGCGATGCGACGAAGTTGAGTCTTCCAGTTTGTAAAGAATAATTTGCAATTTAATTAATTGCTCTACGACTGTAATGAGTTTCCAAATAAACTGAAAACGTGTGTCTACGGTGTAGTAGTGGATAATTACGATAAAACATCAAATTATGGTGTGTCTAATTGCTGGACGGTTAACAGCTACGTGTGCCCGTACATTATTTTTAGAGTAACAGTGTTTTGTGAAAATGGTAACGTCTAATAAACAGCCGGATAAGAAAATAGTGAAAATGGCGGAGCAGAACACGGTGGCTGTTGTGCCCCAAAGGACCTTGCTAGGTGAAGTCAATGAACATATAACATGTCCGCTATGTCGAGGCTATTACATAGACGCGACAACGATCGTAGAATGTTTACACTCTTTCTGTCGGAGCTGTATTATTAAACACTTGCGAGCGAAAAGCTACTGTCCTGTTTGTGAAATGATGATAAACTCTGCCAAGCCAAACATCAAACCAGACAAGGCACTTCAAGACATTGTGTACAAGCTTGTGCCAGGACTGTTTCAAAAAGAAATGGAGAGGCGACAACAGTTTTATTCATCGCGACCAGGTCCTGCTGCTACAGCTACACCTGAACAGAGAGGTGAAGATACAGAAAGAATAATTTTCAGTCCTGAAGATGTGATCTCATTTTCTTTAGAATATGCTGATGCTACTGATACTGATAGCATATCTAGTAAGTCTTCAGATAGTAATGAGCCGCAACCAGTCCCAACAACACCAAGAAGATTTTTGCAGTGTCCTGCTGTGGTGAACATCAGTCATCTCAAAAAGTTTTTGAGTATGAAATTTGACATTGATAGTACTCAATTTGCTATTGATATTTTGTACAAGAGAGTTCCTTTACCAGATTACTATACATTGATGGATATAGCTTACATATACAACTGGAAGAGAAATGAACCAATGAGATTTTTCTATCAAATTATAGATTATGTTGCTATCAGAAATAGACTATTTGAAATCAATAAAAAAGGTTCAGGTTCAGGTCATTTAAGAGATAGAAAATCAAGTCCAGCATTAACTGAAGATACAAATGTTAGTAGTCCAGCACCTCATTTAAATGACCAAGGCTCTGAAGCTTCTTCAGGTACTGACAGTCCTATGCCTGATGATACTACTAGTCAAGCAAGTGACACATCTAAAAAGGTTGAGAAAGCAGGGCAACAAAGTAAAAATTTTGATGAGTCTAAAAATCTTGACCGACAATCTGATACGCCTAAAAAGAATGATGATGAAGTTGAAAAATCTCAATTTCTCAATTCCTTTGAATTGACTGCAAAGAGCATGTTACCACTTAAATCATCACCAGTAAAATCTTCTGATGAACAGAGCACATCTAATGAAGCACCAGCCAAAACCCAGTCAAAAGAAATGTCCCCAAAAGTAGAAGAGAAAGTTGGAGAAACATCTAAAAGGAAATTTCAAACTTCACCACATACACCAGAATTAAAAAAGCTTAAAATAGAACTTGAAAAAGCAAAAGTAACTAGTTTAGTTACTAGTGCTTCTGCTACTGCTACAACAACAAATGCAACAACCTCCAGTCAAAGTAATAGAACATTGGAAACTCCGATAAAAGGAAAAGAAGTTGAAGGACCCTCTAAGAATGCACCAACACCAACCACTGCCATTTCACCAACCCCCATGGCTATTCCTCCAAAAGAAATGAAACAGCAAGCAGTTGCAAAGCAACAAGAAGGTCCTGGAGTGAAAAGAACTGTATCACTACCCCAAAACACATCATCTCCGAAACGGAAACCACCAAATGAAGCTCCTTCTGCCGCACAGTCTCAAGGAACTCAGAAAACTATTTCTCCACTCAAATTACAGATACCAAAGCCGGAAACAACAGCTAATCAAAAACAACCAGACTTGCAAAAGCCTTCAGTCAAAAAGATGCCAGATTTAAAACCTAGTGTGCCTATGTCTAACAAAGGACAACATGTCAATAAAGTAAGAATGGATCTATTAGCAAATAATAGTGATCCAACAATAGATAGAAGTAAAATATTATCTCAAGTTCAATCATCACTTGGTTCACCAATGTCAGGAACTCAACAATCCGGTGATCCTTTGAAGTCTCTATTAGATACATGTAAAATGAGAATACCTTCATCATTATCTATTACACTAACTGATCAAAAATTAGATGCTCGTAATGCTGCTGAGGTAGCAAATACAGATCCGAAGAAAAGTATGGTAAATAAAAACCTGGCTGGTGCTAGTAACACTGTCCATAAAGTCCCAAGCCCTCCTGTTCATAATTATATAGAAATATTGAAATTACCAGACACAGATCAAAAAAATAAAAAAGCAGAAGGTGCTAATGAGACTAAGCCAAGTCAAGCAGGTAAAAATGATAGTTCTGCAACTCCAACCAAACCACCTACAAAGTCTTCAGAAAGTTCAGCTAAAGGCCCAGTTCCAAACTTAAAACCTATTTCTGACACAAAATTAGGGAAACAAAGTGGTAATTTTTCAGCCCCTATTACTTTTCAACAAACTTTTGAACAACAGTTACAAAGCTTACATACTGATAAAAAATCAAAATTAACAAAAAATAAAGCACAAGTTCCCAAATTGGTGCCTGCAACCCCTAAATCTATTAGTGCTGCAAATAAGTCCAGTAATTCTACAAACAAGCCGAGTGCCAATAACATGCCCATGCTAGAGAACAAGCCTAGCACTGCTCTAGATTTATCTACTCCTCATAACACACAAAATCAGTTTCCACCACAAACCTTACATAAGGCGTTTGAAACTATGCAGTCTATTGACAGTTTGGCTAAGAAACAGAATTTACCTAATAAAGGCATTCCTCTGAGTATGCCACAAAACAATGTTTTCTCTAGCAGTATTACTAACAGACCACTCAACTCAGGAGTAAGCCCATTAAGGATTCCTTCAACATCTAATTTGGGTCAGTTAAAATTGGACAAAACAAGTGCACAGATGAGCAACAGACAAGAAATGTCTAGTACTAAAATAAATCCACTGAAGTCAACAAATACTGGCAATTCCAATGTTCCATCTCCAAACTTTCAAATGGCTCCTCATACATCTCCTAGTGCAGCACAACCTTCGCCTAGGTCACAAACACGTTCCCCTAGCTCTTCTCCAAAATTAGTAATAGCAGAAGAAAAGCAAGCAGGTAGTTCTGGTTTAGAACAAAATCTAAATCAATCAGATCAGATTACAAGTACTCAAATACCCAATATGAACATAAATAATGAACAGTTGACAGTCCCAGGGACTTCAAAACCAGGCCTAAAACCTATGCTTCCAGCTGGAAGGATACCAGGAATAAGGCAACCTCTACCGACAAGTCAAAAAACAAGTTCTTTGCAAACCTTACCTGATTACAGACTGTCTCAAACACGACCACCATTGATTTCATCTCAGCATGCGTTATTAAGACGTCATATAGAAGTTAATGCCTGGATAGAAGCTCAACGACAGCTGGAGTTAATCAAGAGTATGTCAACAAATATTGCTCACCAGTCACAAAATGACTTTAACAATAAGGATAAACAGTAATTAGTTTTTGCTACCCAATTAAACTACTTTTATATGGCACCTAAAAACTATTAATTAAATAGCCAGAAAATCTTAATGATATTTTATTGTAAGTGATATATAATAACTTTGACTAATTTACAAAAGCTTGTAACCTGATGGTATATAAAATGGACAGAGTTGATTAAATTATGTATTTTAACATGTGTGTACTTGTAAATTTTGGTTTAAAAGTACTTTATCTGTACTTTCAATTGATTATAATTTAATAAGGAGTGATAATGCATATAACATACTTATGTTGTACTAGATTGTTATTGTTTCATTATTTTTAATAAATGTGTGTAATGTATATTTTGATAAACCAAAGTTTCTATTACAACAATTATTACAACTCTGGAAATGATACTACGGCTAAATTGCAGATTTATTACTTGTGAATTTGGTGATATAATGTATTTTTTATTTTACAAAAACTTTCATCAAATTGTCCTTAATATATTTTTTGTTTATAAAATCGAAAGCAATGTTGGTTTAAGAGGTGCATCCCTTTTGAAATGGATGTCAATTTTACAAGGAAAGTTTGTTTTTAACTTATTATTTTGTACATAAAATCACTTATTACTTTAATGTAAATTCAATTAATATTTTTTATAGTACATTTTGTGATCTGATGATTGTATGTTGTTTATGTTAATTTGTGTTTATTTTTGGTTCAATGTTATTTAAAACTCTGGTGACTAATTAATTATAAAGAGCTAACTGATGATTTTGTTAATGGAATTGTAAGCTTATATTTTAAATATCTTATGAGTAAATGATGTGATGTGAAATGAAAGTAAAAATATTTAACTTTATGCAATAATTTTCGCAATTTACACGTTTATAATCTTGGACATGCAATTTTGATTTTTAAATACATAATGAACTATCAGCATTACTCCAATGAAGTATGTATATGTGTAAAGTGATTAAAAAGAAGAAACTGATTACAGTAGCAATTCTAAAGCTGTATATGACTTTCAGTACATACTTTCAGATACAAGTTTCAATTTGTACTTACAGACAAATGCCTGAGTAAAGAGTGATGATTATTCTGGGGCATGTTCTAGTAAGAAGAACCCAAAAGCGCATAGCAACTACCAACATTTGATATTCAATTATCAAGTATAATTCGATTTACATTTCAAATATGAATACAGATTGCTTTTATTTTAATTATAATGTAAGTCTTATTATTAATGCTATGAGTTTTATGCAAAAGGTGTGTTGGAAATGTAATTTAATTTCTAATAAAAATAAGATCTTAAAGCGGTCTTTTGTTTATCCTCTCCATCCTTCCTAGCACTCTTGTGATACATTTCTATGAACACTGACTGAATATTGGAAAAAGGTACATGATCAAGTTCATTCACAAAATTTTAGGTACTTGCGATGTTTTAGAAAATAAATTATGCTCCTTGTTGTAGATGGCTGGAGTTCAGGCGACAATTCAATTCAGGTCACGCAAGAAGGTCTATGTGGATGAAGATGTTACTAACGAAAACAAAAATATATTAAATATCAGGAAAAGTAGTGAAAGAAAGCTAAAAAGAAATATTGAAGATTTGAAAAAAGATATCGATGATGGTATGCTATAACACTATTTTTGCGTAATTTGAAACTAATTATGGCTAGTTAATAGCTTCATTTCTTTGTATGTCTTGCAGATTGCACTCCTGTAAAAGTTTCGCGAAGAGAAACCCCAACGAGTAAAAACACACCAAAAAAAGACAGGTATCACACACAAAATCCTTTTTGCTTTTGTTTCTAGTTGATCAGCCAATATCATAGTAGATAGAACTAGCTAATATGGGTCTGTAACAATAGCAGTACAATTAAACACTTTTTCGGAATATCTTAATAAAATGTTGACTATACTTGGGAGCAAAAAAATGGACCCACTAGCTTTGATATTTTAAAGAACCCTTATAACTTAATAAAAAAAATTCGTTGTACAACAAAATGCACTCATTTTAAAGGTAACTAAATTGCCTTTTATCGGATATAGCTACTTACGCGCGGTATCACACGCTCTACTCAGCTCTTATTGGTCGTAGCGTGATGTTTTATAGCCTATAGCCATCCTCGATAAATGCGCTATCCAACACAAAAAGAATTATTCAAATCAGATCTTTAGTTACGGAGATTAGCGAGTTCAAACAAAAAAACTTGTTCCGCTTTATATAATAGTATAAGATGAAACAGAAACAACGCCAGTGGCTCCCGTTTGTTTTCTCCCAAGTTTTTTTTAGCAGATATCATGACCAGTTGCAAATGACTTGTGACTCTACTGTAAAGTTACAAGTCATCCCATTTGACTTGTGTTACCTATATCACATTGTTACGTATTTAGAAAGGGAAATTAATGGCTGCTATATTAACTGCACTTTTAGAGTTATTACACAAGTTACACAACTATTTATTTGTGCAATGAATAGTATCATCTATTTTCGTGATCAGCCAATTTCCTTGAGATTAATCGCCGTGATCGATAGTAATTGGGCCAACAGTGATAAAATGTTTAGGAGTGGTGTAATTTTATGTACTTAACTGTACGGCGAATCACGAATCTCATGATCTATACATTCTTTAAATTCCTTAGCTTTGAACCAAACGTTACGAACTACATTCTTATGACTATTTAGAGCATAATTACAGTAGTCAATCAGTGATGAAGGATTGTAAACGCTTATTATTACTACCTCATCGGTCGAATGGTCCTTTATGTGACTGGAATGCGAAGTTTTGTTTCGATATGACGCTAACAGTCGAAAATTTGATATAGGTGCCTCCCACATTATACTCACGTACTTCTTTATCTATGGACCCCCTAAGACCTATATATTTTTACTAATAAAAAAAAAATTTTTTTCCTTACTTAAAGAATCTTCAATTAGTTAATAAATTAATTTTTTTACAGTGAGGAGGAGAATCTGAGACCCTTAACTAGCAGGGAGAAAGAAATCGGATGGCTGGATAACTTTTTGACAGAACATCTTGACAAGGAAGAGTCTGCTTCACTCTACATCTCAGGCCAGCCCGGTACTGGGAAAACTGCTAGTCTATCGTACATTTTGAACTTGCCTAAGGTATAAAGTAATATAGAACTATAGATATATGCAGGAAATTCGATTAAAATTCCTACCCAACTGCAACAAATACATGGTTAAATTAAATTGTCTTCACTATCTTCACTCATACGACGAAATACAACGCAAGTGTTGTTTCACGTCGGTTTCTGATCCGTACCATTTGGCTGAAGCTTTGCTCTTCCACACTTGTGTGTGGTCACAAGACTAAAATCGTTGCTAATTTTCGTAATTTTAATGAAAATGTAGTACATATTTAGTTACACTTATTTAGTATATAGTTTTTTTACTTACAATACCAAATGTTTCTGTGCTCACAGTTCAAAGAAGGATACAAACAAGTATACATTAACTGCACTATGATGAAATCAGCCGCTAGTATCTACAGCAGAATATGCAAAGAGCTTCAGTTGCCAACATCAGGAACAACAGAGAAAGCATGCTTCAATGCTATTGAAAAATATTTAAAAAAGAAACACAAAATGATGTAAGTATTTAATTATATTAATAAACTTCTCAATTACCTCCTCCCCAACCCCCAAATCCGCAAAAGGTCCACAACACACTGGTAGTGAGTGTCCATAGGTGGCACCAGTGGTTTACCATCAGGTGATTCATCTGCTCCTTTGCCAACTTATTTCATAACATATCATCATAGCATCACGCCTTATATTCCCGAAGGGGTAGGCAGAGGTGCACATTACAGCACTTAATGCCGATGTACAATGTGACACCCACTTTTCACTATTTATGTTATGAGTCTCATGTAATAGGTGAGCCTATTGCCATATACCGGACTCAATTCCAGACTCTGTGTTCTCTATTGAGAAAAACCCAGTAATACTTTGCTCGACTCGGGAATCCAACCCGAGACTCCTTGCTCGGCAGTCGCACTTGCGACCACTCGGCCAACTAGGCAGTCAAGCCAGAATTATCTCAAGAATCACTATCTACTGATGAAAATCGTGTAAAAATCTTTTCAATCGTTGAGTTTATCGTGAACAGATAATCGCAGTTGGAACTTTGTTTAGTAATATCCAATGTGGACTTTTTCATTCAGTCTTAATAGGACATGAACCACGGTTATTTCAACAAATAATAATTTCTTTCAGACTCTTAGTATTGGATGAAATAGATCAACTAGACAGTAAACGGCAATCGGTATTGTATACAATATTCGAATGGCCTGCGATAGCCGATTCCCGCGTCGTTTTGATCGGCATCGCCAATGCATTGGATCTCACGGAGAGAACCTTGCCACGGCTGCAGGCTCGTTGCTCCCTCCGACCCGAAACCCTTCACTTCGCACCATACACCAAAGAACAGATTATCAATATATTTACCAATGTACTGGCTAATGAAGATAAGAGCAACGTGTTCTCTCCAGTTGCCTTACAGATGCTTGCAGGTAATTTAACTTTTTGATATAAACCACGTCTTATTTCCTGAAGCACTAGTATAAAATTCACCCAAACGTGGCTCTATTACTATCGCATTAAAAGCCCCACACCATAATAGGTGAGGTGTGCTTATTGCCAAATTGGAATTATTTCGAAATTAAAAAGTTATGTTGTATGCCAGATGCTTGATCATCGAGACTCGAACTCAGCCAACGCTAAGATATAATATTAATGTCTACTTATCCATTTCAGCAAAAATCTCAGCAATATCAGGAGACATGAGAAGAGCTTTAGATATAGGACGAAGAGTAATAGAACTCGCGAGAAGGACAAAGTTTTGTGACAACCAGTCTATTGACAATATGATGAAAGATTCTACAGTTACTGTGGAGTTGAAACAAGTATTAGAAGTACTCAACGACGTATACGGTGGCTCGCGGAAGATCGAGTCGGACGCTGAAGACGGATTTCCACTACAGCAAAAATTGATCCTGTGTAGTATTATGTTAATGCTGACAAAGGGGAAGGTGAAGGAAATCGTCATGGGGAAGCTGCATGATGTCTATAAAAAGTGAGTAATTAAATACGGGATACGTAAAGATTTCCGTTTTCGTACACAGACTTTGGAAGTTATAGAGGTTCTATTTTGAACTGTATTAAATCACTATATCTTATGAATAATTTCAAGGTAAAGCTATTCACGATCATTCTAGTTGACGTTACTTCATTCTTCGTTACATAATTAATTCAATTCTAAGGATTTTGCACTCACGAAGACTAAAACATACATTGCAGCTACAAGGTTATGGATTAAGCATGGTATACAAATACCATGGATTTCATTATATTTAAGGATTTCACAGTCAAATCCATTTGATTTGGGTGTGAAATCCAGCTATAGATACGGTGTTTAATGGTGTTGTAAATAAATCACGTAAATATTGACCTCAGAGATAACTAGATAAGACTAAGACTTACTCTAAGTTTAGACGAAACTTATAGGTCCAGAGAAGAGGATAATCTTTGTCTGAAATAAGGATGATAAAGCGTGTTAGTGTAACTAAATTTATTTATTTCCAGGGTAGCGACGGCGCGCAACATAGTGCCGCTAGATATGTGCGAGATGAGTGCAGCGTGTGGGTTGCTAGAGGCGCGCGGCGCGCTGCGGCTGGGCGCGGGCGCCAGTGCGCGTGCGCGGCGCCTGCGCCTGCAGTGGGACCGCGCCGAGCTCGCCGCCGCACTACGAGACAAACCTCTTCTATCCGCCATACTTGATGACGTCAGCTGCCTACCTTCCTAGCACCTCGAAAACTCACACAATCTAGAGAAATTCCTAGGTTAGTTTCTAAAATTTGCATTACTAAGTATTTCACAACACACAGTTATTTGGGTTTATATCATAATTTTTTAAGTATGTATGATATGTATGTGTTTACTAAACAGACAATGTAGACTTTGTTTAATGCAAATTGTAAAGATTTAAGTTAGTTAGTTAGTTTGTTAAGCTTTACAACCTATTTTACAATGACTGATTACATTTTTGTTAGTTTAAACTGTCAAACACCAAGCGGTCACCGGTGACCGTAACCTATTGTTCTATAATTGTGTCTGTATTGACGGTACTCGACGAGTTAATTAACGACAATTTTAACTAATTTTTTACCTTAAATGTGTAAGCTTTAAAATGTATCAACCAACTTAATCAAACATTGTGAAACAGGCCAGAAGTGTTGTAATTGTAAGTAAGGTGTGTAAGTTAAGTGTGGGAGAGCCATGCTTCGGCACGAATGGGCCGGCTCGACCGGAGTGATACCACGGCCTCACAGAAAACCGACGTGAAGCAATGCTTGCGTTGTGTTTCGTCGTGTGAGTGAGGTTACCGGAGGCCCAATTACCTTCCCCTTCCCCAATCTCCCCAATCCCTGAATCCCCAAATCCCCAAGGATCCTCAAACTCCTAATCCCCAAAAAGCCGGTGACGCACTTGTAACGCCTCTGGTGTTCCAGGTGTCCATGGGCGACGCCGATTGCTTACCATCAGGTGATCCGTCTGCTCGTTTACCGGCTAATGCCATAAAAAAAAAAAAAAAAAAGGACATGTCATTGTAATTAGTTATGCCCTAGTGACTGCATCTAAATATGTTGAGTGCCTTCAGTTAAACGTGAAATACGAGGCTGTGTGTATAAATGATGAGATGAACAGACTGCATCTGTTAGCTTTTAAGACTAGTTATTAAATACACGAGTATTGGTTACATAAGAGAATATTCGTGATCTTAAAGGAATAATGTTGTAAAAACAGTGAGCTTCTTATTTAATGTGTAGTAAGTTATTTATTAACTTGTATATATGAAAATTTAATTACAAGCAAATAGGCCGTTCTGTTTGAGGTTAATGGCTTTTTAAGGCTTTTAGTTAATGAAAATCCACCTAATTGCTTATTATTTATAAATGTTAATGTTATATGCCGACATCAAGTTCTTACTCAAGTATTAGCAAAGGCTAATAAATGTATATCTGCACTAACATAATTTGAGCATATTTTAAATCAGTATTTATTCATATTGAATAAATGTAATTGCAATTCATGAGTACTCAGATGTCGATGAGTATTCGATAATCGAACTTATTTCCACTGGTTGACATCTTGTTTTATTATGTGCATAAGTCCATACCTATTTTTTCATAAAGTATTAACATATTGATATTATCAGTGTTCGATCAAGTGCCAATGTGAGAGTGGTACAAGTTAGAAGTTGGTTTCCCTAATGCTATATTTATTTTCCGTCATACGTACGATTAGCCAAGTTATATTAGGTACGCAGGTCAAAAAATAAAGATGGTTTCAGTACAGAGACTTCACCAATGGTTGACACTAGTAAAAACTCCTAATTAAGTGTGTCTCTACCAAATAACTTGGCTGAAAGTACAATAAAACATAGAAATCAAACTATTAAGTTCTGACTGATAATCACAGTTGCTCAGTAAGTGAATACGAAAGCGGCAGGGTAAAAATCATGCAACCTTTCGACAATTGAACTTACCAAGATAACATCTATCTTGGTAAGACATAGTTAACAAAGACATGGTCGATGTATTGGTATTCTAGGTAAACCTATATTATTTAGTGCCAAAGTACAAGAAATTACAGGTTACTCGCTGATGAACTATTGCTAATCCTATTATTTTCTTTTGGTGAATAGAAATCTTTGCTAGAACTAATAAAATATAATTATGATCATGAGCACCTCAGATTAACACGCGACGTAAATATACGTCATATATGTCTTGATCATGAGTACATGTGCTACACTAGTAAAAGTATTGTTTTATAGACTTGACAGTGTTTTGTATCTAACAATTTCTCATTATAAAGGAAAAAGTCTTGTGATTGATTCATGTGCAGTTGTTCGACAAAGTAAAACTTTCTTGACCTCGCTCACTAAAGTCTATAAAGAAAGCCTATTGCTTAGTGTGCGCTGTGTTATACGAATGTTTGCGCCGTTTCATTACGTGACGAGAATTTCTAATTATGTAATTTTAACATGTTTTTGTTTTGTTTTGTGTCGTATATTGATTTGTTTAAAAATGCTTTTTGTCTATTTGTCTATTACTGTAACAATCATGTCTTGTTAGGTTTTGTAACCTTTTTTATAACTTTTGATTTCAATTTTGTTGGCGTTTATTATCTTGAATAATCTCCTATTGTTTTTTTTTATTTTTATACTCATATAATTGACCTAGTATGTACCTATCTAGTAACTTATGATTATGTAGTGCTGTTTAAAAAATCCAAAGTTAGGTAATAATTATGTCAATTGTATGTATGAATTATTTAAGTTTAATAATGGTATCTTTCAATAAAAATACTTTGAACATCGTATTCAATTTTTATTTTATTATTCTAAACTTAAAAAGTTAATCCTATTCGTGCAAAATAATACTTTTTACAACATTTTTAATACCTACTGAGAGTGAAATAATTTTATAATGTAAGTAAACTGCGTCTTCGAGGAGATGACCGACGGAATAAATGAAAAGTTAGCACAAAGATGAACTTGTGAATAAAATACTTTTTGCCTAAAAGCTACATACCAACTTGTATTGAGGTTGCCATACTCATTATGATCATTATTATTATTTCACTCTGTGATATTGAGGATGTAGTTATGGCTATCATTGAGTAAAAATGTCCAAATTGTGAACAATTTGTTAATTTAATAAATAACTTAATAATAGATAGACACTTGGTTTTGTACAATGTCAGCCATCTAAAGTACTAGAAGGCGAGAGTGCGATACAATTAAGAGTTTCATAGGCGGAGGCCGGGGTTGCGCGAGCGCACGAAGTTGAGCAGCTCGTCGCTGTCCTCACACACGAACGGCTTCACGTGGTGGCAGGCCACGTCGTGCCACTTGATGCCGTCGTTGTAGAAGTTGTTCAGGATCGCCAGGCAGGACTCGTCGTTACCCTGCATCAACAAAACAATCAGTCAAATGTATTGTGTCTAAAGTTATGTACATCAATTCCAACAGAGAGAATTATAACAAACCTGAGCGGCTTCACGGTTGTCAGGCTGAGGTTGGCCGTATCCACCAGTGTAAGACCAGTCACCGGTGTTGCGCTGGGTAGTTGGTCCAATCTTGGCGCCGGATCCAGACCAGAACCAGCCGTTGACATTGGGGGGTTGCAAGTCAGCGCGGTCACAGCCGGCGAAGTTACATTTGCGTCCCGAAGTCCAAATGTACCGGACGTTTCCGCGAGCAATCCTTTGCTTCACGAATTCATTTTCCTATAAAATATATCAGAACGTTAATAACTCTTTTATAATTATTTGGGTACCAATGTTAATAAGTGGGAACATTCTTTTTGGTGTTACAAATGAGGACATCAAGAAAATAGCAATGTAGTGTTAACTTATTTGGTAGAAACAAGTCAATATTTATTAAAACCACAGGCTTTCATTTTTCTGCTTTCTTTTTTAAATCATAAGTTTTAAGATTATGGAGGTTAAAGAAACCAATAAGGACCTGATTTAAAGAAGAGACGAACGGAATATAAAAACGATCGTGTACCTATTACAAAACTAGTTCCTCCTACTAAATGCCAACGACCGGTTAACACAAAATGTCTGGTTTCTGCAGTCGACACTACCTACTACATATGTTTGATTTACACATTGCATGGATTAATCATGACATGTGTAGGTAGTAAGGGTCCGAATAGTAAGGCATGGTGTCATGTGTGTTAATGTCAACGGCGGGAAGTCCATGTCCGTCGCGAACGTCCGGCACAAGAAGTGGGCAACACGGCTGCGGGAGGAATTTGTGCCACGTGCTACTTGCCGGACCGATCGCCTCTGCACAGTCGACGTCACGCAGTCGGCCGTTGCACCCCTTTCACGCGACGACGTCTTCAACGCTCTACAAATCGAGTCAATCTATCCTATTGAATATTGATGCGCTCAGTATAATGACTCAATGAATGTAGGAACTAGGAACTTCATACTAATCCGCGAGATTCCGGATGTATACCTAGGTGCTGACTCTATACAATTGCGTGGTAAGAAAAACCAGAACCAAAAGAAAATATTCAAGAGGTTGTTTGCTATGCTTTCATAACAATAGACGTGCGCGTTCATTGCCATCTTACAACCGACAGGAAGTGTTTAGAGAAACTTGCGTATTTTCCATTGATGACTTACCCGGATGGTATTTAACAATAGACACATGTTAGGTGCTAGCTAGTATTTACAATCTAGAAATATGAACATACGTGTGTAAGTAGATTTAGATACCCGCATATCTACTAAACTTACCTCATTTGAAGAAGTAAAGTCATTAGCTTGAGTAAGCTCTTCTTTATAAATATAACATTACTACACTTACTTAGGAATTTCTTAATAATCTAAGTTGTGATTTAGTGCAATCCAAAATGATGAAATCTAGCAATTCCACGATATGACCATTAAGTTCATGCAACACCTACATCGTTTTAATCTGAGAGTTCAGCTGCTTTGTTCCCAAGATTCAACATTGTGAAATACGTTTTTGTAGCAGATATAGCACTTTACATTACGAAATTGGTACAAATTGCTATTCAAAATTAAATTACTCCTGCCTGCAGGTGGATCATAGCGGGGAAAAGACATATAATCACGATCGACCTAGTTGTTCGTCTTAAATGACCACATGGATAATGAAGATGATTATCTCAAGGCTCATCCATATTCACGTGAGAATGTCTGCGCTCAACTTCGACTGCGACCCGGTCATGAGTGCGTACTTAATAGATCGTTCACATATTGTGTATGAACTTTGTTTTGCAATGTGTACATTGAACATCTTTTATTGTTCGGCTAAGTCCTTGAATTTTCACCTTCATTTCAGCTTGTCTAGTTTTGTTCTTTAGTGTCTCTAATTGTATTATTTATAAATTAAATTATCGCTTCTCATTAACGTACCTGAGGAGTTTCTAGAGAGACGGCGTCCATGCAGTGGCGACGGCAGATGTTCCTAGCGTCGAGCCAGTCTACCTCCAGGTTGCGGGTTGGAGCATGCTCCCAACTGAAGAAGTAAGAGTGCAGGACTCCACGAGCGTCGCGGTATGTTGAGTGACGAACTCCTGCGAGAATAAAAATAATATTTAGTCTGTTGTTCTTTTAAAATTATTTTATTTTCAGCCGTGATCGTCTCACTGCAGGGCAAAGGTATTCTGTGGCAAAGGCCTGAATAATCTTTAAAAAAGAAAACCTTAATTAAACCTTCGAGACTCCATTAAGTGGGTAGGTACATTTCTAAGTACCTGCCATCATTATACATAAGGTAATTAATGGAGTCTCTTCTAGAGGACTGCATGCGGAGGAGTACCTACCTTCAAACAAATATAGGTAATTGTGCAACATGCTACATGAAGGTAAGTGAAGTGACTGAACGAAGTACTAAGAACTTTGTGCCTACAATAGCTTGTCACCTATTGAAAAGTCGATGACGACAGATGTAGGTAGTTACTTAGGATTTCGAAATTGTGTTTATCTAAAACGTTTTGTCGTTCACCAGTTTGCCGTTTGCGCAACACCGCATGTTGTCCTGATTCACACAACCATTGCGGTAAATCTATGTGAGTTTTATATGTGCCTATTATTATCTAAGACCACATACCTATTGTACTAGACTGAAGAATAGATCAATGAAGCGAAACATCTATTATCGTAGCTCTTATAACGTTACAGCATTGGTAAACATGTAGATTACACAGCATTTTTTATTAGGTGAGTATCTACCTAAGTGGGCGTTAATACCTACCTATTACATACGAAATTGCGGTAATGTAATGATTAGCAAAAATCTTGCGTCTCTAAAATCTTAGCATAATAAACAATAACGTTTTTTGTTCACGGGTATTAAAACTCTCGCTGTAATGCGAGAGACATTATCGTTCACAAAGTGTGCAATCAAAACGAGCCCATCGTCATGTAGTTAAATGAAGCGATTCTTTCGTAACTAGAAAGTGCACATGTATTTTCACATGGTTAATTACCCGCCAGATAAAAATTCGCGTAACTAATATTGACAAACCCATTCAACAGTTGTATTGTACACCGGAACCGTTTCGTATCTTCCGTAGAAGAACGTAATTTTACGAATGTCATCTTACGTAACGGACTAATAGTGAATGGCAAAGCGTGAACAGATAAATTAAAGTTATAAGATATTGGTAAGTGTTTCCATAGTTGTTGCTTCCCGTGGAAGTGCTATTATGTAATTTGTTAATATGTGCTCTTATAAAGAACTTCCCAAATCTATAGAATGTACATAAACATGATTATTGTTTATCTTTGTACGTGTCTACCGAACATGTTAAACAAGCATTGTTATTTCGCATTTCTGAGGAGAGAAAGTTGTGAAAGAAACCAACGTGTCTAGCTTCTCATTTTATGTGATTGCAAAATTATTCAAAAACAAATTATTATAAACAGGTACATCAGTATTCAAATTATAATGATTTCGGCAAATAAAATAATTTGGAAAAGTTTTATGAATTATCTACGTTTGTGAGAGATACTTACTAAACTGGTATTTTCGAGGCATGTAGATTTGTAGGTAGTACGTAGGTAAGTGGTCGCATAAAGCTAACAAAGATTCTTTGTTCATATTGTCATGGGTTTGCCATGAATACATTGGTCGATTGTGATTTCAAGTGCGCTCGCTCCCAAATGACATCGCATGGGATGCGCACGCCACCACGCCTTTATGCGGGCACTGGATTGCGAAACATCCACTGATTTCCCATAAAGACCCAACTACGTGAACTCAGAAATTACACAGTACTATAAATAAATACATAAAATAATATCAAAATAGACTTATACTCTGCATATTATCCACTAATAAAAGACCTATTTACTCATAAAGATGCGACCTAACTTATTGAGAGACCTATAAATAACTGACACTTAGTAACTTAAGTATCCTCTTTACATACATATAAGGATATTGATTACCTTGAATGCAAGGAACTAGTAACTACCTACTACGTTCTCGAGAGTGTTCTCGTAACATTTGATTAAACTATTGCTTGTTTAAAATAAATTCGCAGTAGAGCAAAAGTATTGAGAAGTATTTTAAAAGACTTTACGAAAGGTTTTGTGTTCCTAAATTCTTGTTGCGTCGATACATGGTTTTTCTTTCTTTCTTTCTTTTCTTTCTTTCTTTTCTTTCTTTCTTTTCTTTCTTTCCTTTCTTTCTTTCCTTTCTTTCTTTCCTTTCTTTCTTTATTTTCTTTCTTTTCTTTCTTTCCTTTCTTTCTTTCCTTTCTTTCTTTCTTTTCTTTCTTTCTTTTCTTTCTTTCTTTTCTTTAACCTCTCTTACTGA